CAAGGAGTTACAGTGTAGTACAGTTCCAGAGATGACCATCAGATTTTTTTTCCTGTTATTTTTGACTTAAGGTTGATGACAGTTTTTGGGGTTTTTTTGAAGAGAAAGAAATCTGAATAAAAATATATGTGAATGTTTCTTTAGTGCCTTCTTTGGACCTTGGCTATATTTCTGTAAGCTGAACAGTTAAATGAAAAGTCAGGATCAAAATTTCACATCTTTTTCTACCCTCTGGTATATATTTGCTGTCAGTGACACGTTTTAGGCAGCATTATGTGTTATAATGCAACTTTTTTCTTCCTTCAAAGGTGGTGAAAAAGAAAATACCAAGATGAGTAAAAAGCCTCCAAATCGTCCTGGAATCACATTTGAGATTGGTGCTCGTTTGGAAGCACTGGACTATTTACAGAAATGGTATGGAAGACATTTTGCATTTGCTGAGAGCGTAATTATTTTGTGTACGTTGCGTGCTTTGATATCTGATTATATAATTTAGTGCACCTTTTAATTGACTGTTTCACTTGTGAACTTTCTTATGAGTTTCCACCAAAGTCCATTAAAACAGTACACTTTTAGGAAAGTACTCTCTCTTCAGAAATCAAACTAAACTTTTCTGTTGGTTTTTATTTGTTTGCTTTTGGTTGCTTGTGTATCTGTAGTAAGCGAAGAGCATTTCTGGAGTAGTGTGGAATGCAGAGTCATGGCTGAGGTGGTTGGTAAGTCAGCATGGCAAACCTCCGTGACCAAAGGCTTCTTTTGTTTTCATTTGAAGGCATGGAAGGGGATTTGTTCTGTATTTAGTTATCACACTTCATAGGTTCACAAAACTGATTTTAAAAAAAAGAAAACATCCTTAATTGGAGTGCATGGGATAGGCAGGTGCAGTTGTGTTTGGATCAAACAGCTGGAAGAATGAAACGCTTAAAACTGACTCTGCAACCACCCAGGCATGTTGTGAGTTCAAAGGCTATAAAATCAAAATTGTGGGCACAAGGACCGTGCTGCACAGCATGTGTGTTGTGAAAGGAGCTGTTCTTATGAAATAAATTTAGTCAAAATTTTATTAAAGCAAGTGGACTAATTTGATGGTGTGTGCTGGCCATGCTAGTTCTGTTTGAAAATCCCTGGTTTTGTTAAAGCAGGTGATGGAAGAAATTGATGCTACCCAGAATTTTTTTCTCAGCTACTTTTTGATTTATTAGGGCTAGGAAATGTAGGGATGTGTACCTGCTTTTCTGCTGCATTCCTGGTGAGCTCAGCATGCTCCTGTAAATATCTGGTCCTTTAACTCCAAGTGAAGTGAGAGAGAAGTCTGTGTATTATTGACATGTTTGCTCCAGTAGTTACATGATCTGTATAAAAAGTTGGGTCAAACCTTTTATCTGTAGAGCTTTGATTTTAATTATAGCAAAATTGTTTGTTTTAATCAATGGTCTCTAAAAGAATTGATTTACAGAACGGTTCTTTTTCTTACCTGTTCCTGTAGAGTGGGTTTTCAACATACTGATTCTATAACTGAATACCAGGATAACAAAAACATCCAAGTAGTGCTAAAAAAATAACTTTAATGCAACTTTTTATAACATCTGTGACAAGAGATAATTGGTTAATATAACTAGGTAACAAAAACTAATATGTAAAAATAGCTTCAGCTTAATTGTATCAAAAAAATATCACTGAATATCCAGTGTATAGTTTGTTTGAGATATGCCCACTGTTTTCACAGGGGAGGGTTGCATGTCAACTCTGGAGTTCTTGTGTAGGTTTGGGTTGTCAGGCATGGGCCATGTCACAAGCTCTGCAGCTGAGTTCCTGGGTGTTTTCAGGAAGAACAGAATTTATCCTGAACTTTCTAGGAATTTATTCATCATCTGTACCACGGGGTAGAACAGGTCAGGTTTTATATGCGTGTAAACTTTGGTGGTGCCACATACAGGAGGAGAAATTTAATAATGGAAATTTTGCAGTTGCAGCAAGACTGAAGCAGAACTCTGTTTCAAATGAACTAATATTCACATACAGAACCAAACAGCTTGTGACAGAAGGTCTCCTGTTGTGTTATTATTAGGGTGACACGGGTTGCAATAATACTCCATGTGATTTTTTTCTTAGCTTTCTGTTGCATAAGGGGGTGGTGGATGTTTTTTAAATTCTTTCTATATATAATCTGAATGCATTCCCTTGATTTGCATGCATAAATACGGACTTCAAAGAAAATAAAGTTGCTGAACTTACATGAAATCTCTTTATATTTTTTAACAAAAGCTAAATTGAAGAGCAGTGATATTGCTTAGCTCAGTTTTTCTGCAAGTGACAAATTGAGAGCGCTTGCTGAAAAATAGCCTTTGAAAGGGTTTTATTTTTTTCCCTCCATTTTTCTGAAAACTTGCTGTCATTTAAAGATCCACTGTTCATGACCAGTTAAAATGTTAATCAAGAAAGGCTTCTAGAGGATGTGAGAAAAAATATAGTAAAGTATGTTTTTGCTTTCTGAGGCACTTCTGCATGTCTGAAATTTTCAACTCTGTAATAGTTGCTGAAATTCATCTCATGGAATCTGGTGTTCTATTTATGATCTGTAAACTTTGGAGAGGCCATTGTGTACTTTGACTGTTTATTGCTTAAAAGCTCCGTAGTTTTAAATGAAGTTTTTGCGGAGAGTGTTTGGGTCACTGGTATCATTTGTCATGTACCATGACAGAGTAGAAGAAATCCTGGTCAAACTGGTCAGCAAAGACAGGCTGTCAGTGGGTGTGTTTATTTTTGCTTTATTGTGGAGGTAACTGCAATTGCAGCTTTATCAAGTGCAGCAGTTGTGCTGTTGCAGGGCATTGTCTTACATAATGAATTTGGACCACTTGTTACATTTAAATTCACTAAAGCAAACTGTGAAATGCAGCTCTAATCAAAATCGATGTATGCGAGATGATCAGGGGCCTGGATTGTACGACTTGTGAAGAGAGAGTGAAGAAACTGGACTTGTTTAGTTTGGAGAAGGCTTCAGGAGTCCCATGTCAGCCTTCCAATACCTACAAGACTGTAATCAAGAAAATTTACTTGGCCAATCTGTACAGGTAGTTAGAGGGCAAGAGACAACAGGCATAAATTGAAATGAGAGATTTAGGCTGGGTTCAAGGAGAATCTCTTCCCATGGGACAGTGGATCAGGTTGCCTGAAGAGTTTCTGGAGTTTCCAGCGTTGGAGGTTTTCCAAGATGGATGGATAAAACACAGGAAAACCTGACCTGATCCCATAGCTGACCCTGCTTTGAGAGGGAGGTTGATCTAGAGACTTTCTGAGGTCTCTTTCAACTTGAATTATCCTGTGATCTCATACAAAAGCTGATAAATGTGCACACCCCCCTGCCTCTCACTGAGGAAACAAATGAAACAGCAGTGAGGCTGTAAGCAGTAAGGCACATACACACAGACATGCATTTGCAGGTAAGACGGTTCTTAACCTGTCAACTCCCACAAACAGGACACTGACCCTGCAAAGCTGTTGTGTTTCAAGATGCATCTCATGCTTTTTTTGTCTTTATATGTCTTTATGGGACTGGTTGTCCCATAAGCTGCAGATACTGCTTTGAAGAAAACAACTCTGTTGTATTTCTGAGACCATAGTTCTTTATTAATTTGCTTGATCTAAACTCTGAGGTAATGAGAGAAGTACAGATACATGGCCCTTGTTGTTCTGAAATGGAAGCAGGTCACTAAAATAGGTTAGTTGGGTGTTTGATTATCTGGATGGATTTTTTTTTTTCCCCCAGTATGAAAGAAGCCTTCTCACTGTAAGTCTTTGGGAAATCTTGCTTGGGACAATCCTTGCTTTAGATTTCAGTTGACTGGTTTACGTGACAGGTATTTGAAAGGGTGGTGAAGACTCTGCTTCATGTTGATTGAATACAATATATATATATAGGTAAAAACTAGAAGACCTAGAAATATGTGTTTGCAGATTCTGCAGATACCAGAACACTATTTGTGAGAAGTCAGAACGGAGGGTATTTGGTTTTATATCCTCTACGAGTTAGAAGGAAACAGTTTTGATATCAGAATTGTGAAGGCAAGAACTGTGTCTATAGACTTGGTAGGTGTAAACTTGGACAAATTTACTAATGTTCTTGCATCCTTTTTTAGAGTTTGAAATGCTTGTTGTCCCATTTCACGGGGCAATTCACCACATTTGATCCCTTTTGATGGGTTAAAGGGAAGACGATGACGTAAAAATGAAAAAAGTAGCTGTTACTGTGTGTTGAGTGCATTGAATAAAATAGTTGGGGTTTAGTTGGTTTTTTTTTTTACACTGTCAAGAAATGAAAATGGGAAGTTTTCGATGAATTTTTCTTGTATGAACGTTAGAACACTATCATTGTCTGACCAGTGCTTCGTAGTGTAAGTTTTGTAAGCCATATTAAATTCTGAAGCTTTCCAAAGAATTGCATAACTCTAATGGATTGGAATCACCGGGATGGGAACCTGCCAATGGAGAGCATGCAATGTGTAAATTGGGTAGCTACCATCAACTAACAACAATTCTCCTGTTCTCTCTTTAAAAAACAAGAACAAACACCCCTGAAACTTGGATGAAACTTCGTTTGTGATTAGTCGATGCTCTTTCTAGCATCCTGTTAAAAAAACACACCCCAAATTTTCAGGTTATTGTTTCTTCCCACAAAAAGAACACTTTGATTATTGAATTTCAGTGGGCTGGTCTGTTTGGTTTTCTTGGTTTATACTGATTAAATGTTGGCAAAGCTGTTTGTGTATTAGTTTCATTCTGATCACTTAGCGTGCAGTACTTACTGGGGGAATTAACCTGACTGGAAGGTTGTTTTGGCCTTGGACATCCTTATGATTTGGTACTGTAAAGAATGATGTTTGTATCCCACTTTGTAGCACTTCTTCAGATGTAACTTCGTAATTTGCAATGTGTATGAGATGTAAGCATCTTCAAATTAATCTTTTTAATTTATGAAATTGATTATTTTCAGTGAAAGTACAAAAACACCAGAAAGATGTTTCTGTGTAAAATTTGCAGTAGTAAATTCTACAATGTGTATGTTCTGCTCTTTTCCACTGTCAGATCAGTATTGTGAAATATTACTGTTTGTACATACTGTGGTACATTCTGTGGCTAATTTTAGTAGATATTGAGGGTAATAGCTTGTTGCTAAATCCATACAAAGTTGTGTTTGGGTTGCCTAATAACCAATCACACATGGCTTGGGTGGTTCCATCTCTGGGGATTGAAGTTGAATGCAGGCTTTGTCTATTCATCTTGCAACCACTCTCTTAAGATACATTGGAGAAACATAAATTATAAAAAATTTTGATTGCAGAAATGGTTTTTATCAAGGGGAAATTAACTGATAAGTACCTTGTGCTGCATTTCGTCTCTGGAGTGATCTCTAATGAGGCTTAATATTTTTCATATCTTCTTTCATTAACTCATACTAGCTTTGCTCTTTTTTACTCTTTTTATTTTCTGTATATATTAATTTCTTGATTTTTAGCTTGCTGAATTTTTGTTTAACAGTACCTTAATTTTAAAATATTTGTCTCTAAACTCTGCTCTGTATTTTAGCTCCCCCTCTTACTTGGTTTTCTTTTTCCAGGACTTAGTACTGTAATTTCCTGGTTTGTCCCTTCTGTTGTCTTCTCACTCAGTGCTTGGAATGGTGACTTGGCTGCTGCTGACCTGGGAAAACTCCCGACCCTAACAAGGAAACTGCTGTAGGGAAGCACCATAGCGGGAACAAAGTGTTTGCATTGGAGATGTGTAGGAAAAGGAGAATCTTCTCTTTCAGCTGATTTTTGTACAATAACCATAGTTTTGTATCACTAGGTGTCTGGCATCTGATAAACCTAATATTTCTAACTGTGCTGAGAAAGTATCATTCCTGGCTTCCATTTCACTGCTGTAGCACAAGCTCTCCTTTTTGTTGGCTACAAAGTTGACTTCCCATCCTCTTGCTTTTCTGGTGTTTTTCCTTCCCTCTGATGAAATGCTTTCTGTATCATCCTTTTGGTAGCATTGTTACTCATAGGTTTGCTCTAGGAACAGTAACTTTACTTTTTGCTCTACTTTGCTCCTCTTCCTGCTTATCCTGAGACTTGGTGTCTTGTTGTAAAAAGTCTGAAACTGGAAGACTTGGGAAGATGAGAAAAAATAGTAAGGAATTTTATAATAAAATTCCTAAATGTAGCAGCATATGGTTGTTCAAAGTTAAACCAGGTTTGACCTGAGTTTTACTTTCTGCTTTGATGCAGCAGATCATCAGCTTCACCATTCTTGTTAGAGTGTTGTTGTCAGTCTGCTTGAGAGGGGAAAGGGGGTTGATCTTGTTGTTTCTCTGAAAGAAGACCCATGAAGTGTCTTGAAAAAGATTTTGTTAGTAAAGTGGCGAATGAGAGTCTACAGTTTTAGGCTAAGACTTTGTGGGGGTTTTTTTTGAAGTGCAATGAGGAGAAGTTGGGAACTTAGAAGAACGACTATGAAAATATTTTGCGTTTCTGAAATGTAAGGATGAGAGAAATGCAACAACAACTTGGACTGTGTGAATTCTGATGTGAGGGTGGTATGTGGCTGAAGTAGTAACTAGAAAATCATTTTCTTGTAATCAACGGCTCCTGAAATATTTAACTGTTGGGAAACTGTGTACATCCCTGCAGTTAAGAAGTAGGACTGGGGAAAGGAAGGAGCAAATTGAGATTGACACCTTCTTGTTTTAATGCTTAGTTCTAGTCACTAGGAAATAAGGAAAGCTTGTGCTTCTTGAAAACTTATATTTTAATCAGAACATAGTGTTAGAGACTGCTTTAACAGCGCAGTCAGTATTTTGGAGAGAAAGTATTCAAAATTGATGGTGTTGACAGGGTTCCTGTGTAGTTGCTTTTCTAGCTGATGGAATTTGCAGTAGGGCTGGGAATTGGTCACTCAAGCTCTGCTCTCTTACTATTGCTCCACAGTAGCACTTGGTTAGAAAAACAGGTTGTGAAAGTTAAAGGCAACTGTCCTTGGCTGCGATCTTTCTTTTCAATACATGCTTTGTTAACTTTAGATCATCCCTAGTATAAACTCTGGTAAAAAAATTAATGATCTAATTAAATATTTTTTTTTTGGAGATTCTTTGCACTGCTGAATCTGTTTCAGCACTTCTGTGAAGGGCAGAAGGAGCTGAATTCTGCCTCATTCCCATTTTCACTGATGTATATCAGCTCTTGAACTAAATCGTACGAATTTAGTAACTTAATTTTTTTCAGGCTTGGAGAGTTGTCAGTACAAGATGTTTATTACAACTTTCTGAATGGTCGTGTAAGCACTGTTGTGTCTAAAACAAGAAACAAACCTTTGAGCTTTACCAGTTTATGTTTATCATTCAAGGTATCCATCTCGTATTGAGAAGATTGATTATGAAGAGGGGAAGATGTTGGTCCATTTTGAACGCTGGAGTCATCGCTACGATGAGTGGATTTACTGGGACAGCAATAGATTGCGACCCTTGGAGCGACCAGCATTAAGGAAAGAGGGCCTAAAAGATGATGAAGAATTTGTTGTAAGTGGCACATTTATTTTGTCTTAGGCTTTTACTAACTGTCCTACTTGTTTTCCTACATTCAGTCTCTCTAGCACATAATGTTTAATTCATTTTAGGGGAAAAAAAAATCTAAATTATTTAAATATTAATGAATAAATTTGTATAAAATAGGATTTTAAACCTGGAGAGGAAGTCCTAGCTCGTTGGACAGACTGTCGATATTACCCTGCAAAGATCGAAGCCATTAATAAAGAAGGTATGTATGCATGTAAGGTCCATAGGTAAGGTCTGTTTACATATGTTATGCTGTAGATTTAGTCTGCTTAGAAGAGAGATATGCCTATCAAGTTTTCCTCACTGCCTCAGTATTAAGTGAATTTGTTTCTGTTTATCAAATTTAGTATTAGGTTTGTATTTTATCTGTACGAAATCAGAAAATTGGAATTTCTCCTGGAAGACAAAATGCTTAGTGTTTTTAATCAGTGATTAGAAGATCCAGTGCACAGTCTTAGGAATATTTCATCCTATTGTTGATTTGTGTTAATGATATATTTAAACTTTTGTGATTGTTTTAGTCTGTTTATTGAAGAAAAACAATAGAAATGGGGAAATAAAGGAACACCTTAGATGAAATACTTCACAGTGGTGATAGTTCTAATGGACATAAGTAGAAGTTTTTACTGTAATATAAAGCAAATGAGGATTTGATTGTAAGTTGAATTGTTTCTCTAGTGTGACACTTTAAATATGACATAATTCTTTCAATGAATTATGAGCAAAAGTGACTCAATAGCTTAAACATGCTTGAAATTGTTCAACTGGACAAAGAGCAACAATATTAAAGCAGGATTTTATTGAGGCTGTAATTTTTTTTTTCCTTAAAATTCTGTATCCCAGCTGCCTGTAACACCTGGTTACTCCGTTCATACATCATACAAAACATTTTACTAAAGCTTTCGTGGTAACAAGATGTGTTTGCTTCTTAAGTACTCACAGTGATTGCATCAATCATTTTCTAGGAACGTTCACAGTACAGTTCTATGATGGTGTCATTCGATGTCTTAAAAGGATGCATATCAAATCTATGCCAGAGGATGCAAAAGGGCAGGTAAGAATACTTTAGGTATTGCTGTGTTAGGTTTTATGTAGTTGTTTGGTTTTCTGTTGGTTTGGTTTTTTGTTTTTTTTAATATCTTGAGATAGTAAAAGTGTCGTGTAGCACAACTAGTTTTTAGGTTACAGTCTTTATTCTAGGTCTTGCACTGCCTTGCTTCTCCAGTTTATGGATGCTGCCTCAGAGTGTGCTGCTCCAGTGGCCTTGCCTCTCTCTGAAATGCCTGGCTGCTGGACACTCCATTGCCAACTAATCTGTTCCCAGAGTCTTGTCTTGCAGAGTTGACAAAACCAGGGGCATCCAGTGACTTTTCCCTCGGATGTCCTTCAGGAAAAAGCTTTAGTTTGTCAGCAGTCTGTGTTGCTAATTTTTTGTTTAATTTTATTTATTCCCCACCCTCTACTCCATTTCTTTAGTTTGCTACTGTGATACCTTTTGCCCATGTGTTCTTATTAACATGACTGAAGGTTTTCTCCCTTATGTCACAACTTTTGGGCATTTGGACAGATAAGTGTTTCTTATCTTTTATAATGTCCAGCTGCTGTTAAAGATGAGATGCTGAATGGAAGTTGAGGGAGACTGTGAAGTAGAGGACATGATTTAGTCTCTAGGCATATCTTTACTTTAAATTGGTTCCCAAAGGAGATTAAACTGAAATCCATAGTCATGTTAACCCTGGTTTCTTGCTACAGTCTTACAGTAACTCTGTTGAACCTGCGTGTAGTATTTCAAAGAATATTCTCAGTATGACAGTAAGTTAGGAAACTACAGCGTTTCATTTCATTTTTTAAAAGGCAAAACTTGGGTAATGTGATTGTGACTGAAATAAAATAACCCTTTTGTGACAGTGTAAAGAAGTCCCCGACTCTGTCCTGTGATTTTCTAGGAAGCGATGTTGTATCTAATCTTGAGTTACTACTCTTAGGCCACAGGCATTTTCAGCTTTAAAAAGAAAGAGTAAATACATTTCTCCACAACCATTATGTTGTCCAGACATGCTTGGTGGCAGTCCAGCTCATCTATTATTTCTAATTTTTCTCAGTAGTTGAGAGTCATGGTGCCACTCATGCATCTCAGGGGCTGAATGTAGGCTGCTTCAATGCAATCTTGAGAAAGAATGAAGGAGACAAATTTACACTTTCTAAGATGGATTTAGAATTTTTAAATTGTCTTGAAGCAAGAACACCACCAATTGTGCTTCCTATAATGCTAATTGATACTAGTTATAGCATTTAATTTTGCAGAAGTAGAAATAAGTGTGAAGATCTTTATCTTTCAAAGAGAAAGATAGAATTTTTCCTACAACATTTCTCCTACATCATGCTGTGGTAAAATGCTTGTTTTTCTGAATATTTTTGTGTTATTTCAGAATGAAAACATGATCTACGATTTGGTTTGGAAATCAGTTTTCTGAAACTGAGCTTTGTCTAAGCCTAAAATGCAAATGGATGTTTTTGCTCTTTTGCATTATTGATTTTTATAAGAAAACACTTATTAAAATTTATGTAAAGCTTAAAAAAAATGCCAAGACAATAAATTGATTTGAAAACTAGTGGAGTTATCAGATCCAATGCTTCATGCATAATTTAAACCTATAACTTGGTTTTTGTCTGTTTCCAAAGCAAAAAATAATACTTTTCAAGAGATCAGTGTAAACTTAAGATCCTTCCAGTTCTAGTGCATCAGCAAATCTAACAAATATAAGATCTTTTTGGAAGGTGTGTGCTAAGCAAGCGGAATTTGAATTACGTGGAGAGAGATACAGATTAGTTAATACTTTGATTTCAGCTTGGTGTGACTTGAAGGAAGAGATTGTAAACACTATAACACAAAAACTGATTTTGAGTTACAGCATAAGTGTGTTATAATAAGACTCAGCTGTGAGGGTGGAAAGGGAAAATTTTTAAAGAGCGGAAAATATTTGTGTGTCTCAGTGCAATGAGACTCGAGGTTCAGCTGCTGTGCAGATAAGAGCAAATTAATAGAAATCACACAGATATGTGGCTTACAGAGTACAGAGAGGAAAAAAGGGGGATATTGAGACTGCCCTTGTGAGAGCACATATGAAGTATTTGGATAACTTACTTTTTCTGTTTCATGTTTTTTGTTTTATCTTCGATGTAATCAGGCGCGCGAGAGGGAGCAGATAGCGCCGGAGCTGAGATTAGTGACGGAAATCGAACCAAAAGAAGTGAGTTTTGAGGAGGGATTTGAAGGAGAGGGAGGGGACTTGGCACACAGGAAGAGGAAGCTGAGGAAAAAGCATGGATTTGCCAATGGGCCAGAGGAAAAAAGAAGATATGACAGGAGACAATGTGAGCCAAGATGTAGGTGGGGCAGACTGTTTAGAATTGAAAGGTGAGGATAAGGAATCCAGGCTTGATGTGGAATCAGCCAGTCCATAGATTGATGTTTTATGTATGTGTATGTATGAATGTGTGGGAGTTGTGGTGTGCCAGGAGAGGAAAAACAGCTGTATCTAGTACTGTAGAGAAGCAAAAAGGTGATGGTTTTAGGCAGATGAAGGGAGATCGATGTGTGTGTGAATTCTGCTATTGATGCAAGGGTTGGATTTTAGAAATTATTCCGGTTTTGCCTTCCAACTCTTGCAGGATTAAGGTCACACAGAGGAATATTTTAAAATACAAGTGTTTCAGCCAATTGATGTGTAAGGCTGTTCGGTAATTTCTACTGATGTATTTCTTGATCGTGCAATTTCCTGTGTTTTGATTTAGTGAATCTGATTAGCATAATGACAGTTTTTCTCAGCAGTGATAATGTTTTGTTTTCTAACTACAGTGTCTCACTACTTTTCTACTGTCAATTTTCTTAGCTTACTTGAAGGATGAATTTTAGGAAGAATAAAAAAGAAGGAAATGCACATTTTTATTTTTTTTTTTAAGTTGTATGTGTAAATGAGAAACTCACTGGAGTGAGATACTGTGGGAAGTGGGAAATCAGGCTGAATGGTGCAGAGTAACTGGTGCAGACTTACACAACTACAGCCAATAGAGAGGCGATATCAGGACACGAGGGAAAAATAGGGAAGCCTTCTCTTAGGAGGTTTTTGATTTTACTTTATTAATTTGTAATGTGTTCATATTTAGATCCTTGGCTTTGTGTATACTGAATGATCTGGGAAAATGTCCTGCTATTGAAGAGTTGTAACTAGTTTCTGTGATATCTGTGGTATTTAGTGTCCTGCTATTATGGTTGTCAGGGTAGATACCTTACTATTGTCCTGAGACAAAGTTCATACTTTATTGTGCTTTAGGCTCCCACTGTTACTTGCAAATTTTTTTGTTAATTTTTTCTAAAAATTCTGAAAAACACACAAATGGATCTTTTTGAAGGAGTTCCTGTACTCTTCAAAAGATATATAATTGCCTCAGCATCTTAGATGCTAAATAGTTGTTGCATGTCAGGAGCTGTGCTGCTGAGCAGTCACTGAGCAGCAGTTCAAGGTTAAAAAGCAGGAATTACCTGTGTCACTTTAGTGCCTGTATGTTTACTCCAGAGCCAGAATAAAAATGGACCCACAGAGTTTCTGACCAAGTCAGAATCACAGAATTGTTTATGTTGGAAGCGACCACTTGACATTATCTTGTCCTCCACCACTGCTCAAAGTTCTCTTCACTGAGTTTAAATTTACATGTTAATCTAGAAAAAAAGTATAACTGTCACTGTAATTACTGTGTCTCTGCTCTGGCTTCTGAATGCTTAACCTTTATTTGCTTCATTGTTATGTGTCCTGCTGCCCTTTGTAAGCTCCACATTTTAAGAACAGTATCCAAACAATGAAATTAAGTACAAACAAAAACCCTGTTGTGTTGCACCAAAACAGCTGCCGGTAGGACAGGATACTTGGTTCAACTTGGTCCTTGAAGCTTGGTATCTTCTTGAAAGCTTTTGATTCAGGGTGCTTAGCTTGACTGAAAATTAGAATGCCCTTTAGAAGCTATTTTGACACAGGCTGCACTTCCTTTCCTTCCCACTTTTATCAAAAGATCCAAGCTCCAGCCATGTTACTGGTCCTCTTCATCCCTTGGCCAGGGTACAGTGTAAGACTTCTACTCTCAGGTCTCCTAATTCCTCGCCACCATAAATAGCTCAATCCATTTTTTGTCCTGCTGGATGGGCAAGGCTCTGGATGGACTGGAGCTAATGTGTATGCTTGTTTTGGCTGGCCAAAAAAGAGATATATGCGCTTTTGATTGACTGCAGCTGGCACTTAGACATGCTCGTTGGTGCTGGCACATCACCAAATGGCCTCGGTAGTTGCCTGTTGTGTGAATGTTGCCAAAGTGCTTCCAAACTTTGCTGCTGACTAGTCTGAGTGTGTGCAACTGCACTGACAGTGTGGACATGGAACACTTTATCTTAGAGGAATCAAAACTGTTGGTGTTTCTAAGTACATAGCTTGATGCAAAGTAGAAGCATAACCCACGTAAAGCAGTTACTTAAAAGTATTGAGCTGTGGAAAAGGAAAAGCATGATACAAGAAGTAGTGCTCTGTATTTGTGTTATGCTTTTCTCATACATCAACGAAGGTAAAGAAGACTCTCAGTAGAACAGAAACTTGCAAGGCTTATAATACGTAATGAGTGGGAAAAGTTGCATTGAAACAAGATTTGTAAAATCAAGCTACTTAAGGTATCTCATGGTGACATAACAACAAGGAAATACTCCAGAATAAAACTGAGTCTGTCTACAACTGTGGGGGGGGGAATTACTGTTTGTAAACTACTCTTATAACTAGACAAAAAATAGTCTTTTTCATACTTGTTTTGTGTGTAGTAGTACTTGTGCAACCAGACTGCCATTTAGTAAATGAATTATCATTCAGAACACTCAGATGCTTAATTCTACCTGGTGGATCATTGACTGCTATTGCCTTTTATATCACATATAACTTCTGCATGGAAAAAATCTGTACCTTGATGTTACAGAGAATTAAAAAAAATACTTCAGTCAGAAGGATCAAGTTACAGTTTTTGCAGTCAGGAGACATAAGGCAGGAGTCTGATTGCTCCAAACTAGTGGAAACAGCTTGTCTCAACCTTGGAAGTGTTTAGTTCTTTCTGTTGATGTAGAGTGGCTTGACTTGGTCTAAATGCTAAAAATTTGAGATCTAAATTCTGTTGTCTCTGTATGGTCAAAATAAGCCATTATCAAAAATGTCATTTTTATTGCAATAAGTATGGATTGTGAAATTATATTATACAACACTTTATTGAAATTACTGGATGAAACCTATAATAGGTAATACAAAAAGAATAAAGGAGTGCTATCTGTAGTTACTCTAGAAACACAGGTATAATTAGATAGGAATTATCCCTGCTTTATCAATTTAATTCAGGAAGAACTCTGCTCAATTATGCAGCTGGACCAGGCTTTGAGGTGGTTGTAGCTTTGAATAATAGTTCAACAGCTATGGAATTGTGTATTTCAGAGCCAGAAGGGTAAGGAAAATGTCAGTGTTCTGGGCTTGGGACCTCCTGGGTTTGTAAAGCAATGACACAAAAAGTAGGTAACAGGGAATGTGTACAGTCATAATTCTATACACAGTGGGTTTTTTAAGTTTTGGTTTTGTTTTTATTCCTGTGGCATTCTGATAGTTCTTTAAGTTTATTAAGGCCGTTTGGGAAACTCATTTTACCAGTCTTTGAGTAGTAACCATAAGAATAAATTTAACTGCTCTTGAACATTTCTAAATCAAGTTTCACTGGGGTTTAAGAGTATTTTCTGTTTGAGTCTTAGGCACTCTTTAATACTTACTTACCATTTTTTCCTTTTTGGAGGATTGGATAGCTTTGGTCAAAGCTGCTGCAGCAGCAGCAGCCAAGAACAAAGCAGGAAGTAAACCCAGAACCAGCGCAAACAGCAATAAGGATAAAGAGGACAGAAAATGGCTAAAAGTCCCTTCAAAAAAGGAAGAAACCTCAACCTCTACAATCATGCAGGATGTCCAGAAAAAGGAAGAGGAGCCTACATCTAGTGAAACATTTGGTAAAAACACATTCTATAAAAGACAAAATTGGTTTTCCTGTACTGTTGAATTAGAATTCCTGTTGTTAATTTTGCAATTAAGTAATAACTAATATTTCTAGAGGAAGGTGTCTCATTTGCTGTTATGATAACTTTGTGATATATAATCGTAATTGGTTCAGAAACCATTTTTGTCAGATAAATCTAGTTCAGTCAGCACTCTCTGTGCAAAACTTCTGACTGGCTTTATCAAGAGCAGAACATTGGTTTTTTTCAATGACTTCATTGTACACTTCAGTTCATATTCCTGCATCTTGTTACCTGTGAGATAATCGTTGATATTGTTCTAAGAAAAAAAAAAATTCCGATATGCAAGATATATCCATGTTCATGGATGTTTGAAACTGTTTCTGGTTCCATATGAATTTGCTCATTTTTATAGTCTTTAATGCTGAATTCTCATAATTCTGAGTAAAAATTACAAGTTTTGAGGTAATATGCATGTAATGCTTCAGTGCGTAATACTAGATCTTCAGAATGTGTCATCTTAATTTTTAATAGACGTTTAAATTTTCTTTACTGCAGTGTTCTAATAGCAGTTCTGAAATATTTAAGTATTTTGGGTGTTGTTATGTATTTATGAAATGTGAGTTAATGAGGTTTCTCTTGTGTTTAGATGTAGGGTTTCCTGTAGTGGATGTTCCAAAGATGGCCTTTGTGCAGGCAGAGAGCACGTTATCGCACAAGAGGAAAAGTAATCTAGGCAACTCATTTCAGGCCAAGAGAGCTCGTCTTAACAAGATCACTGGTAAAATATTTTTTTTATTGTTGACTTTGTTCCTTTTCATGTAGTGAAATATACATGTTTATATAGAAGGTATTGGAGTAATTTCACACTCATGAGGGAGATGGTCGCTGCAGTCTTTTACTTGTTGGGAATTTTAAAGGAATCTATAAGTGGTAAAATGTACCTTGTTCATGCATTCAAAGAATGGTCTCAGACTGTACTTGGTCTTTTTAGATTTTTAGGACAGTAGTCATCCTGAATTGGTGAATTTCTTGAGTATGTTTTAACTCCAGCTGCAAAGTTTTCTCCATTATTGGATGAATTTGAGCTTTGTACAACTTCTTAACAAGGTCAGGAGTTATATACTACCACTGTAAATTAGAACTATGGGTAGCTGTGGAGAAACAGTTAGTAAATGTTTTGTCACAAAGTAAAATTGTTGCTGAGAAGAGTTCACAGTACGTCATTTACAAATGCACGAGCTGTATTTCTTCTTGTGTTTAAAGGATTAATTCACTTTCACTGAAAGGTATCATATTCTCTGCTAGCAGAGTATGCCTTTGTGGAGACAGACACACACTTTTTAAAATTATAGTAAAGTCAAAGGCTACAAAATCCTGGTTTCTGATTATTCAACTCAGTCTGTATTAGCTTGTCTACCAGCTGTTATTGTCATAAAACTCCTTAGGAAATAAAAATCCATCCACAAGCACAGGTAAATATGATTTCTAAAACTACAGGTTTTTCAGCTGGTTTTGGTATCTTCTGCCACTAAATCCTATTGTAAGGAAATGAACAGGTCTCTGTAAATATGTATCACTAGTCTGTACATCTTCTACTACTGCTGCTCATGGCAGCAATTAAATTGGGACTCAACTGAGGATGTACATAGTATGGGCAAAGGAGAGTAGAAATGAAGTTGGTAAATGAGACATCTGTTAACATCTTGGAACCAAAGAAGGAGCCTTCTAGGAATGAAAATCCCGGAGGCAGAACATGGGTTTTTATAAAGACTGCTTCTGTGGTGTGCTGTTACTTACAGAGGATGGTGAACCTGTAGTCCTGCGGCGGCAGTTGTGGGGGCATGGTGGTTGGTTAGAAAAATACTTCATGGGGTAGAGAAGGAGGAAAGAATAAGGGTTGTATATTGACAGGTCTGGCAGAATCTAGATTCCTTTAATGACTTGAATTTCTGAGCACTGAGCATCTACCTAGAAGTAAGAGAATCTGAGAATGACAGAGTGGTTTGGGTTAGAAGGGACCTTAAAAGTCATCTAATTCCAACCCTGCTGCCATGGGCAGGGACACCTTCCACTAGGCTAACTTTCTCAAAGCCTCATCCAACCTGGTCTTGAAATCTTCCAGGGATAGGGCAACCACTCTTCTCTGGGGAATCTGTGGTTTGTAGAACCACAAAAGCTTCCTCATGGACGGTAGCTTGTTCTTTTGTATTTAAAACTACTTCACTTGATTTTGAGAATTCTTTTATGCTTTTTGGTATAAACACGTGATTGTCAAGGTAAATAACACTGCAATTTGGAACTTGATTTAAACAGGATAGTTTGAGTCCCAAATACTTATTCTAGGCCATAAAACCTAAATCTTTTATGTAACCTAATGCAGAATTAAAATTTTACCTGATAATTTTGTTTTTATGTGATAGGACTAAGTAAATTTCTACTTTTCAGTTAACCTAAACTGAAGCACAACTTAATCTGACACAACAAATAAATGAAACAAAGCATCAGGTGTTTATTGTGGAGCATCAATTGTTTATTATTTATTTTTGTTTTATTTTTATGTCCTGAATAGGTCCTGAGAGCTCAGGCTTCACTAATTTATAATTCTTTGGGCACTGTGCACCTTAAATTAATTTTTGGCATATCTAATTTTTCGTGGAACGCAGCAGGAATTCCCTATGTATTTGTCAGGTTATTTTTGGGGACCTCAGTTCTTCACCCCCAGTAATGACATCCTCAGGTATTATAATAGGAGTTTTTATTTAGATTTTCAGGTTGTATCAGTTCTGCTTTGTCTTGTGGCATAGAACTTTTTCTTTCTCTGCATACTTAGGCAATTAAAGTTATTGTGTGAGGTACAACTGAGCTATTGCCATATGCTTTGCTGAAAAAAGCTTTCTTATTTTTATATTGCCTTGTCTTTTACAGGTTTTTTGTAGTAGTGATATTGTGAATGAAGTGACATATTCTAATATATATATTTGCTCCCAATATGGTCTCATTATTGAGGTAATTTGGGAGCTCCACTGCTGAGAATCATTTGTTTGGAAATTAAATCCCTTTCTGTCTCAGAAAGATTTGCATGTGTTAGAGTTAAGAAGTAGTAATACAAATTCTGATGCAGATTTCTTAAAGACTGGAAAGGGGAGAGAGAGAGCAGTTTTGTAACTAATTCTGATTGCAAAATTTGCTTATGCATCATACGTATTGTTTTAAAGCCCAAGTGCTGGGGCTTTGGAAAGATGGTGAGGCTTTATTTTACAACTGATAATTTGATTTTCATCTTGTCAGTGAAAATGCCAGAGGTGTACCTCCTGTGTAAGGATGCCATCATTGGAATGTCCTTTTTTGACACTTTTTTGTTTCTTCTAATTTAAAGTGTTCAACTTTGCATGGAGCCATTTCAGAAAGATTCTTGTTGTAGATATATGCAGTTCATATTTGCTTTGTTTTCTACAAATTCTTGTTGCAAGGTGCTTCTAACTATAAAAATCTGTAACTTTTCTCCTAAGGTTTATTGGCATCCAAAGCTGTTGTTGCGGATGGTGCTGAAAAAAAGGAAGGCAACAAAGAAACAGCTCCAGTCCTGGAGCAGGTATGAAATGGTAGAGTTTGATTTTTTTGCAAAGTTCCCACTGGAGTGTGCCATGGAGATGTAGTACCTACAACATTAAAATTTTCCCCTTCAGATATAACAGGGAACTGAAAATTTATCTTATGTTTACATTTCTGGCAGAGCCAGTAGTATGGAATTTAATTGTCTCTAAATAGTGTTGACTTGAATTTCAATAATGAGCTTTTGTGTTAAAAAAATAGCAGAAAACAAAATAAAATGAAGTCTCCACACAAGAAATGTGAGGAGACCAGCGTCCCAAGGTCCAGTTTTATAGCTGGAACCATGACTGGCTTAGGAAAAGGCCCTTACACAAATTTAATTTGTGTTTGAAACAGGGTTTTTGACATCACATTGAACTTCTTTTAAAAGAAGTTTCTTTTATATTGTAAGAATTTGGTGTTGTAGGCTTGTATGTGTTTTATGAACTGCTCAATGAGCCATACATTTTGCAAGGGTGTGTATTTTAATAAATACAAAAAAGAAACTTTTAAATAATGTTAAGGGTCTGATTTTTTAAACCTGCATATTGGCAGGACCTGGAGGCTGCCATTTTGTCTTTAGCTTATTTCACTGTTTTCAGGCATTGCTTGACTCCCAGTTGTGCAGTTACTTGCATATAAAAAGGGCTGAATGCCTGAGCACGGTAAAGCAAGCTGAGGATGAACAGTAGTCTTGATTCAGGACACCTTTGTTTTCCAATGATTTAAATCAGAGCCTTAATGTAGTTTTAATACAGCTTTTTTGTATGCATTTTCATTCTTCTTTAACAGCAGCATTTGAACCTAACAACCTTGCTGCCTGTAATTCTTTAACAAGCACTTCTGTTCTTTAGCCCCCGGCACACTCTACGAACAGTCCCTACCCCAAACTTGATTTGATATTTTGGTTGTACTGGTTCTTTAGAGCTGATACATGATTTCATTGCTCTGGTTTTCCCATTGACGCTGCATTGGATGCAAGTTTTGTCAGTGGAACCTGATTCTCTGTTTTTGATGCTGTCACTGTAAGGGCCGGCGGAGCCGCCGTGGTGCCGATGCATTGACCGATATTTTGCATAAAGGTTTACAGTGTATTGACACGGCATTCCATTTCTCAAATTTTTGCATATTAAAGATGCTATGATTTTTCTTGCTACTGTGTGTGATATTTTCAATGTGCAAAAAACTGTGAAATGGCTTACAGCATGTTGTTTTTTTGGAAGAATCATTACAATGTAAATCTTGCCATGCAGAATCCCATTGCGGTGAATGGGACTTTGTGGTTTACATAGACTGTGTATGCAACAGTATAAACTGCGGTGCATATTTACTATAACCTTTTTGTTACTTCTTAGACTTAGTAACTCGACTGTTCCTGTTTATTGATCAGATATAAAAAAAGAAAGATGTCTCTGTCATTGTTTACATGCTAATGGTCTGAAAAACCTCATTTTTTGAAAATACTAGTTAAGCTCAATTAAAGAGGCATCTAAAATCCCAAATTGTCCTATTCCCTTGCTAACTAACTAAAACCTGAAACCTTACAAAGATTTAAATGATTGACTGTGGGGAGGAAAATTTTTGACCTTAAAGCTTTTTTCACTAAGTTTCTGCCCAAAATTAAATTAAAATGGCCAAGTTATAAACCTCCCCAAAAGTGTTCCAGTAGTGAAGCTGACATTCCTTAGAGGTTTTGTCTGCTACTGCTATAAAATTGAATGGGTAAAATATCTTGTAGGGTTTTTTTAATAATGTAATACAGAACATGGTAGTAGAAGTATTCAGGCCAATAGCCGAAAACTGACTTTGTTGATGGAAGTTTTTGTTTATATATTTTTAGTTTGCAGTTGTCTTAAACCCAAAACCTCAGACAATTAGTTGCAGATACAGTAGTTTATTTAATTGTATTAGGGTATGTCATGTTATATTTCCTTTTGACCAAGACCTGATTAGATGGATAACATTAATTCATTAAGGTTTTTAATGTTAATTTGTCCTGTTAAGAGGTTAAGCACCTTATCAAAATCTTAATTTAATTTTTTTAATCTTGTTTAAATAACTTTGTAATTTGAAAGTAATGGATGCTGTAGTATGTCTTTCACATCTGTGAAGATGAACAATAAAATTGTTTATTTACAAGTTACGACTCTAATTAATTTCTGGTAATACCTCTCATAACCAGCATAGGTATCCTCCATGGTCCATGGAATATTTTATTTAAATGAATAAACTGCACTTAGTATGCGTGTAATTGAGTTATTCGAGGTAGCACTGGTGTCTGCTGACTGGGATGTTTTGCACCGGACCTTTACAGGATAATTCCAGCGAGCAATTCATGTAGCATTCAAGGGTGCCCTTTTACAGACATAGAATGTGCGCTTGTGGGGTTTTATTTTACCTTTTTTGTTTTTCCTCCACTGGAACATGGAAAGTTCCAGTGGAAAATAAAATTGCAATTTATAACAAAACTCAATAATACCCTCAAATCACCAGAGATGAAATGTTTTTAGTTTGGATAAATTGCTGCACAAGTTCTAGAAGTACCTTTCTGCTTTGTTAGTTATGGTTTTATTAGATGCTGCTATGCTGTGTGATGTAACTGAGACAAGAAAGGGGACAGGCTTAAGGAATTATGTTCAGATATTGTAGTTTGCCCTTATTAGGCAAGTTGTAACACATTCACGGTTTTAGTAATGCAGGAAGACCTTCCAGTTAAAAATTTAAAATGCCAATGTCTGTCAATGCATGCTAACGGTCTAAAAATAATAGTGTGTGTTAAGAAGGATGAAAATTGATGAATTTGGAAAGCTGCTTTATGTGTTGACTTTGTTTCCTTCAAAAACTGTTTTAACTCTTTATCTGCTCGTTTTTTCTCCAACAGTTAGCAATCTATTTAACCCTGTGGTGCTAGAAGTTGTGATTTCTTCATGTTTGCACAAACATATAATGTGGTGAAATCCAGACTCCCAGCACTGAAAGGGGTTGTGTGAGAGTGTGCTCAGTATTTGGAAACCTTTTGTTGTTTTCTGGCATTACTTAAGGGAGCATTATCAACTTTTTCAGATTCTCAAAAATACAGATTTTTTTCATGTTAAATATGGATTTCTTGAGGAACTTCTTAATTATTTTTTTTTTTTTGGCTATGATCAGGGAAATGACCATGCAGGGAAGATTTTGGCAACTTTTTTTAAAACTTCAATCCCCTGAGGAAGGTTTGTTTGTTTGTAGCAGTGCCAGAGTTCAGGGAGTGTCTGGACAACACTCTCAGTCATATGGTTCAGCAGTAACCAGTCCTGCAAGGAGCAGGGAGTTGGACTCAGTGATCCTTATGGCTCCCTTCCAACCTCAGATGTTCTGTGATTGTACATCAGTGTCTGTATTCCGGCCTGTAACAAGTGTTCTCCGGGTTATACATCAGACTGCACTGACAGTCCTGGTCAACTGGAGATGAAAGACCAGTGAATTTTTAAATCGGAAATAGAGGAAGAATATTTTCTTTTTGGGCTTTTTTCAGGTATTTCAAATAGTAAGAACTGAGCCTTCTGAATACTGAAAACAATTGATAGTGCTCCTTTAACAAAAGCAAAATTTAATGTGATGCATTTTAAATAGTTTTCATTTGTTCTTAAAATAATGTTGCTTTAATATGTGTTTGAATACTAAAATTGCTTTTAAAAAGATCAAAATAGAATACAAGAACTACAGCGAAGAAACTGAAATAAAAGTATCAATTTTTTATTATTTATTCAGGAGATTTCACCTAAACCACAAAGTCAGAAAAAAAATGAAGCTGATATTAGCAGTTCTGCCAACATTCAGAAACCTGCACTGTTATCCTCAACTTTGTCTTCAGGAAAGGCTCGCAGCAAGAAATGCAAACAAGAATCTGGAGATTCTTCTGGGTGTATAAAGCCCCCTAAATCACCACTTTCCCCAGAATTAATACAAGTCGAGGATTTGACGCTGGTCTCTCAGCTTCCTTCTTCTGTGATTAATAAAACTAGTGAGCACAGACATTTTAAAAAAAATACCGTAACTACTTATAAGAGATATACAGAAATTTTCTTTGGTTGTAAATGGCTATTGCTTTTAAAAATTAATCTGCTTTAAATAAAGGGTCCAAGTGGGAGAATTAGGGGTAGCTCAGTATTTTAAAAGTCAAGTTGCTTAATAAGGCATTTGAATTACTCTACCAGAAATAATACATTTAAATAATATATTGATATTTATAGAGTTGTGGCTTTTAATGGTTGGCTTTCCCTCCAACTTAAATCTCCACATTAGTATTAACAGTGATAAAGGAAAAATCAAACCTCCCTTCTGAAAAGGGCCTGATTCATTAAAAAGAAAAGACATACACCTTGGTGTGGACCTTTCCTTCTCTGAGAAATTTCACCTTCAGCAGGCTGACGTGCTGTACCTGTTGGCTGTGGCATTCTTCACCTTATGTGATATTTCCTCCAAATATGATGTGAAAGAGAAGATGGGTTCAAGATCTGTGATGGAGAAATATAAAAAATTGTGTTTCTTTGTCCCAGAAAGATCTCGTAGGTGTTCAGCTTCTTAACATATGTAACTGATTTGCCAAGTACCAAAATACTGTTTATCAGAAGAACAGGGGAGGCTTTACGCTGCTTGCGTGAATATGCTATTTTTTGTGACTATTAAAATATTTCTATAATTTTTTTTGAGATTACATTAGGTTTTTAGTGTTGCTTAGTGTCAAGTTCTTTGCCTGAAGAACATTGAGTGATGAGACCAAGGGTTAAAATAAATGCAGGTTTCAGTAAGTCAGAAGCTACATTTTTGTTTCACTTTTAGTATAGTGATTGAGGATGGAAGACTCAACCTGCATCATGTGTTCCCCTTAACCTTCATATTTTCCCTTATAAGTCTCTTTTTAATCTTTACTCACAGATAACTCTAAATGAGTGGGAGAGGGAGGGGTGCAAATTCAGCTGTCTTCATTTATTCAGGACACAGTGGTAAAAACTGTATTTTGTCCCCAATAAATATTAGCAGTCATCTATATTGTAATACGCCTTCCATCCCCACCCCTAGAACAATGGTAAGTAGTTTTCCTGGAGCATGTTTATGTCTTGGGTTAAGTTAGACTTCTCTCTGTAGTGTATTTTAAAATTAGCTAATTTAAAAATTGGTTACTTAATAGCTCAGATCTTGTCTTTTAATGTTTGACTTCCAAGTTTTTGCTACCTCTAATGGAAATTTAGTTTTGCTATGTCTTTATTTTTAAATCTGTGCATCTTTGACTCTAAAAACTGCTTACAAAAAGGAGAAAAGAGTGGTTTACAGTGTCATAGTGACTTAAATGTTTTTCTAAGGCAAAATTTTCTGAAATTGGGTGAAATTGGAGAGGTGTAACAGAGTGTGGGTTTTTTGTTTTTAATGAATCAGGCCTATATTAACCTATATCAATCCTCCTCCCTTTTTTTTTTTTATTATTTTGTTGAATATAAAGTTCTGGAGCCTTCTCACTGTGCCGTGCATTGGCAGTGTATGTTTCAGTTACAGCTGGGGTATTGATATCAGGTTAGCAGAAGAGAGGAGGTGGGGTATAAAATTAAACTCTGTTTTGAGTTATTTTTCTAAGTTATATGTTAACACTATCCATGACTTTTTGGATCTTTAACTGTGATCATTTGTTCTGTTTATTGTTAAATCCTCTTACCCCCTTCCATTTTAAGTAACCTACTCTCACGGGTTATATGGGGAGGGTTGCTTATTGTAAATACCCTGTTTGCCTAAAACGACAACCTTTATCAGTGGGGAAGTAGGTGCCCTAATATTGTATAGTAAGCAAAAACCAGGATCATGTCTTGAGCATAGCTCTTTCTTTTGCTCCTGGTAGTCACAGTTTTGTAATTACTTTTACCAGTTTTGTTGTGATTACCAGCTTTGCAAATAAGAGCTACTTAAAACACTCCCCATCTTTAGATCTCAAATACTGCGGTAAGATGATGGTGTATCTCTCTGCTTCATGAACATTGAAAGATCTCTTTTTAGGTCCATCACAGCCAGTGAATTCCCCTAGATCCTACAAACATAGCCAGCGGAGAAGAAGATCACAGCGTTTAGCCACTTGCTCCTTGCCTGATGATTCTGTAGAAAAAGTTTCTTCTCCCTCTTCAGTTACTGATGGAAAAGTGTTCTCCATCAGTGGTCAAAACCAACAGTCATCAAAATTGGAGGGTAATGTATCTTAATCTAATAAAGAACTGCCCAAGAGAAATTGAATCATAAAAACTAAACCTTTCATGGTTTTCATCTAATGGGGTATTTTGACTTGCTGTAGCTAAAGCTGTTTGCTGTTCCTATGTTATGTAACGCTGCAATCCAGACTGTTGTTTGTTGGACTGTGTATCTTTTTTAATATGACATTTTTTCTTTTGTGTAGTACCTGATGTTGCTCATATGTCACTTGAGAAGCGTGGAACGTGTCTCCCTCTTGATTTAAGCCGTAGTTCGGAAGTTACAACGCCATTATCCACAGAATCCACTTTCTGTAATGAATATCCCAGTAAAGACAAGGAAGATATTCAGATGGTTACATATCTTTCTTCTAAAGCAGTAATTGATGGAAGAGTAGCTACAACAGCGTCAGGTAAAGAGATTCAGTATACAACCAGACAGGTTTATAGCTGCAGGGTTAAAATGTGTGTATATTCAGTCTCACAGAAAGAGGGGATACTTTTGGTTTTCCTTCCTTCACACTCAGAAACCTGCCACTCTTCCTGGACTCCATCTGCATATTCTTTATCTTCCCCTGGATTTGAGCTGCATTAGCACTTCTAACAGGTTTTAAGGAGAATCTGAGAGTGCGGAATGTTGGAAGCAGCATTTATTTCAAAAATATTTTAAATTGTTGTTGAAAGTTGTAGAAATAATTAACGAAGTGTTTACAAACATACTAATATACACTTGTAGCTTCAGCTTTAAAACATTGGTGCTTTCAAAGACAGTATTCCTCTGCTTTCTGCCTGTTTGCAGTGGAAATTTTGCCCTTTGCTTGCTTCGAAATATTACTTGAAAATATTTATGCAAAGTTTTAAAAAACTTTTATATAGACTTGATCCCCCTCGGAATTAGCACACAGTCCAGTACTGGAATTCTGTGCTACCTCTCCCTTTGTAACAGTTTACTGACTTCTGTGGCTTATGTGAAACACTTGGATGGAGGTAATGAAGAGATATGGGGAAGGATTGGTATAGTGGTTTACAGGCCCAAGAAGTGGACTGTGTTCATCCAGTGTGTATTAGGTGTCCATGTCATTTCTTATAAATAAGCCTCATGTGGGCGAGTATCAAATAATTTCTAACTGACTTCCAAGAAAGAATTCTTTTCACAAGCTTTTTTTTTTTTTTTTTGAAATGAGAAAATTGTACTGTAAAGTGTGGGGAAAAAAATCAAATTATTATACTCTGCTGGGAAAGTTGTTGATAAAAGTGATTGATGGTAAGGGAGGACAGCATGACCTTAAAGGATGTAGTTATGACACTTAAAATATATCTTACTCCATTAATCTGTAAATCTCTTAAACTAATTTGTAAAAATAAGGACTATGGGAACTTCTAATGAGCTGCCACTTGAGGTTTTTAAAATATTAAAATATTACTTAATTACTCGAATAATGTGACAGTCTTCATTTGCCCTTGATACTTTACATAGCAGTAGAATCACAGATTCCTGGGAAAAGTACCTCTGTAAAAGTCCTTTTTATTTTATGTCTTCTGCTACTAAGAGAAGTGCTTTTGGGAGATGTGTATTTGCCCACTCACTGAACAAGCTCCTAAAAGAAACCAACAGCTTCCAACTACCATCTGTTTCTTGTTTGGTAGAACTCCTCTCAGTTACTAGGAATTTAACTTCTGGCTTTTCTGGTATGTTTTCTGGCTCATTTAACGTGATAGTTGGTAATGCTGGAAGTTGCCTGCTTCCATTATGGGCCTGGCTCAGAGTCCAAGTGAGGTGGTTCTAAACCCAGCATCCAGGGGTGCACTTGTACCTCTTTGCTTGTTGAACTGGGTCTTGGTTGTGGCCACAGCTGAATGTCATTAAAGAAAGAATAAGTTTCCTTTATGGACACCTGTATTTGACTCGGAATTATTTGAGATGTCTACACAGTTTGTGTCAGGGTAAAACATTCCCTGATAAAATTGTTTGTTACTACTAATTGAGTCTATTATGGGAAGCTGGAAACACTTGCAACCTAAGATGGAGAATAGAGTTTATACTGTATTTAAAGCTTAATGAAGCTTTTATTGTATCTGTATAATTTTAAGAGTTATAAGCTCTAAAGGAAATGATTTTCCAGCTACCTTTTTGTCTTCTGGGTTTTTACCTTCCAGACAAATCTGCTTTTTTCCTAATTTTCATGTATTACAGTTTTCCTCCATGCCATCAGTGGAACTCTGTCTTGAGTTTTAATGATGACTTTTTGTCCAAATGTTAGAAGTTTTCAGTAGTTTGCAGTCCAGCATCATCTTGAGTGTAAGCTTTGTGGCCTGATAGGCTAATCTATGCAGTTTGATATCTTTAATTCCTAGCAGGTTTTGGAGCTAGCTACCTCTCTCAGTTGAATCTTTATGACTCTAACTGAAACTTATGTGGCTTTTGGTTTCATCTCAGGCTTCTAACTCTGGTGAAATTTGTTTATCCTTCTCATATTCTTCTTAGAAGAAAAAGAAGAATGTAGCTTTTATGCTCAGGTTTGAAACCTCTGGAGTTAATTTAGACTGTTGAATAGTTTTGTGTTTTTTGCTTTAGAAGGCATTGCTTTGCCTTTGAAATAGCACAGGTTCTGAAGTCACGTTATTTAACAACACATTCTTCCATGCTTCAGCAGAACTAATAGAATCCACTCTATTTATCAGTACTTTTCTAATTAACTTGTTTAAACAATAACAAGCAAATGTATAAAGGAGAGATGCCCAAAGCTTTCCTTTCTCATTCCTGTCAGAGCTTGAAATTATCAAGAGAAGTTAATTTGCACTATACAGGAACATATGCCTAAGTGCAGTTTAATATATTGCATTGTTCAGTGTATCCACTGTGACTCTGTACACTACAAATTGAGAACTCGCGTAAAATCCAAACTGTCCTGTAATTGAGTTTTCTTGATCTGAAAGAACTGTTTCAAATTACATCTGTTTATGATATTGCTGTTGTTTAGATTTTATTGACACAGTGTGGACGGATCTGGTGTTCTACGTTTTGTCATCACTGGGTTTTGCTAAGTGCATTTAAATTAGACCTACTGTCTTTGTAATCTTTGAGGTAGATAAGTGTAGATAGTTTTAGAGATGATGAAGGTAATGGAGGTATTTGGCCTAGAACAGCCTGTTGTGGTCACTGACCCTTCTGTAACAGAGCTGGACTGGTTTAGGGCCAGAGATGTTATTTGTGGTGTTGCAAGTTCTGTCTTCTGATAAAGCCTGTCAGTTGAGTCAGTTGAAAAAATAATGATACTTTTTAAAATAATGTGTTTTAATTGCTTTATTCAGAAGTTACTGCCTTGGTGTTTTTCAGAGGAGAAGGACTAGGTGCACTGAAGTGCAGGTGCATAAATGGCAACTCGTGGTAATAACACATAGATTTCAAAATCACTGTTCGAAATTAACAACTGATTGTTTTGTGAAGGCCACACAAATATTCTGTTGTAATTCCTTCAGTCCATAAGCTCCATGGAAGTACTGTGCACTTTGGTACATCCTGTAGTTACTGAACAGAGGTACTGCTTTGCCTAAACTGTTGAGAGGGCCTCCTTGTGATCACCTGATACTGTACACACATAACTAAGAATCTTTGTTTTCATTTGCCAAATTGCTTAAAATGCAGATAACTGGCCTTCAAATCCACAGTCAGTCAGAATACCTGCAAAACACTGTAGTTTTGCAGTTCTGAGTATATGAAGTGCAAATCTTTCTGTAGTTGTGCTTTTCTTTAGATTTGTGATTGTTTTTCTTGGTTTCTGTAACTCTGTACTATTTGTGTTAGTTTAGCTGTAATGTATTGAGCAAACATTATTTCAGCAAGCAATCTGGGTTTTGAAATTTAAGTGAAAGGAAAATATTGTTACACTCAGTCATCTAACAATATAATATTTGTAATACTAATATAACAATATTATCATTAGTTGTTATCTCCTGTTATAACTAATCTATAGATGCTGTTGCTACTAGAGTAACATTAGGTTAACTATATGGGAGAAATTTGCACTTAGATTAAAAGAAGAAGAACATTGCATACTTTTACATAATTTTGTCGATAACAGTTTACTGCAGCAGGAACAAGAAACAGCTGATGGACAAAATTTTCAGAAAATGAGATCAGTGGCTTTTTAAAAACTCTTGCCAGCGTTCCTGGTTTACACTGCTTTTAAGAGGGGTGAACTGTAGCTCTTGTCACTTTGGGGCTGCTTGGAGTGAAACAAACATGTATTAACAGTCAGATTTAGTCCCTGATTTGAATGTCTGCCATTCTGATCTCTGCCCTGAAGTTCCCAGTTTGCATTGGTTAGCTGAAAGCAAGCAAGAACCTCTTCATGGGCTTATCTTTCCTGAAGAGATGGTTTTGTGTAGGATCTGATATTAATCTGTGATATGTAACTGAAATGTGTTTAGAAATAAAATTGATCCTATGCACTGGGAATTCAGAACACTAAATTAAACATGGCCAGCATAATTCATGTTTCTGTCACAATATGATTTAATTTGAATATTGATGGAGATAATGATATTTCTGATATTATTTTGAAACATTGAAAACCACGGAATAGAATATCAATCAGCAAAATAGGTTGCCTCAGATTGGTACAACTTGTTTGAATTTGCTGAATTGCAATAAACAGTACCACTGCAAGCCCACCTGTGCTGCTACACATCTGGCACATCATCTTGTCCCTGTGGCTGTGCTCAGATAAGGGGCTTTTGTCACTTCCCTGTGCCAGATCAGGAGAGGTAGCACTGGAAACGTGTCATTAGCTGGACTGGAAGTGCCATGGTTTGCATTTATTTTTAATCTGAAATCAGTCTTCTAGTGATAAAATTGATCTTGGAACAGTGACAAAATCAGTAGTTTATCAAGTCTAATCTCTAGTCGTCTTTCTCTTTGCTGAGTGTTAACTGCAGACCTCCCACATTCACTGTGTGGGAGGTGTCTGGCTAGATTCCTGAGCAGGAATAAACTTTCAATTAAAAGTAATAGTTCAGAAAAGAGGTAGTATTTCCGTAAAGGAACTAATATTTTTCTTGCTGTGTTTGTTACTTGCCCTTCTGACTCTGACTATCTACTTTAATTTTGTGGTTACTTGTAAGGCAAGTGGTTACTTGCATGTGCATAGTGATTGCACAGTTGAAAAGTGGGCTTTGCAAACCTTAACACTTTATTTAGGATTTGAGAATTCAGGATTCTTAGTCTAGAATGATATCTGATGAATAAAAGTAAAAGCCAAGCATAACATTGCAATGTATGCAGGCGTAATAGCAATTCCTATTTTCAGGTTACTATAGAAAGGCAACCTGGAGAGCTCTGTCATAAAAATGGGTATTTGTGTGACTGGAGCAGATTTCTGCTCAACGTAAATGTTCTCTCAAATAGTTATTTTGTTACTAGTTGATGACTTTGTCAGTTGTGCTTGTGTTGTGCATTATTCAGATACTGAAGCTTGTTGTGTTGTGGCTATCAGTACTGGAGCACATTTGAATGTCAGGTCAGGATTTCTTCTCAATCATGAAGTTTAAATACTAACTCATCTAATGTTGAGACTGAATTCCTTCTGAGATTGTTTGGATGTAGTGTTCTCACATCTCTTCATCAAAATGGCAGTGACCTAACTGAATTATGTGCATTTGGGTGATCCTTTTGTGCTTGTTACAGAAATGAGACAAGACGTTGATAGCGTGATGATGTGGGGAAGTGTCACTTTTTCTTTTACTAATGTGCTAAAATATACTTACTGCTCTACAGATGGCAAAGCGTTTCAGTCCTGTAACAGAGACAAATGGTAATTAGGAAACCCAAGAAAGGAATAATTTGGGTAGTGTTTTGTGTCAATAATAAGTATCCCAGTAAGCTAAATTCAATTGAAATACAGACAAAGGCAAGAGCCTGAATAGCAGATCAGCCTTAAAAGGATTGTGGTGTTAGGTGAGATGGTTGATTTGAGGTAGGGCAGGGCTCAGGTAGCCTCAGCCATGGTCATGCTGCTCGTGTGGAGTGGTAGGAGCCAGCACACAGAACTGAGCAGGAGCTGCTGGCTGGATGGCACGGTATAATGATGTCTTGCAGCTGGAAACATCTGGCATTTAAAAGTGCTGTGTTGTGTGGTAGGTAATGTACCACTTTCTGCTTTTACTACCTCTGTGTCTTTCTCACTCGGTGGCACTTTGTTTTCCCAGGAAGGCTGACTGGGAGCTAGAGTTACCTTTATGTAACCTGTGTGTTGCATCCTGCTAGAATTGTGTTGATCTGTCTGAGCCTGTAAGGCTGCCTTATAGAGTCAGCCCTATAGAGTTCCCTTTTCCCCAGAATCCTCTTTGAATTATGAATTTACTAAATTGTCTTAACGCTGTTTATTTAAATCTATTTTTTGTTCTATTACTGAATATTTAAAAAAAAGTAAATCGAAGAAGCTTAGAGGGGGAGCTCAAAGAACCCATTCCAGATCAGCTCCATATTTTGTCTTGTTGAATATCTTACCAATAGCAGGTATTTTTCATGACTTTTTACATGCTGTTGCTTTTGTTTCGCTTCTCTGCTGAGAGACACCAGAGGTAACTGGTGCCTCTAAGAGTTTACCTCTTGCATTGAAAAACCTGAACCTCTTATGACTTTGAAGAGCTGCATTTTTGCACAGTATGTCCTTGGCATGGTCCTGAAATATCCTCAATGGCCTGATGAAGATTAGGCTTTCCTAATTATATTTAGATGAAACTTGAAGCTCTCAGTATATTGATGGACGCAGTAACAGAGAGTTTTGAATTATCTCAGTAGTGTTCTTTATAAATAACTTTTATTCTAGTTTATTTAGAAATTATTATAAATATTAGCAATGAAAATTATAATTTTAGTTTTGTTTTGCCATGTTACTTCCTAGTTTGCATCAAACAGAGGTTTAAAAAAACCTATTAATTATTTCACAGAATAAACTTTTCTGAATAGTACAAGATAAGAACTGTCAGTATATGGTACTGAGTTCTGACAGATCATCACAGTATTTTGCATGTAATTCTAATGTTGATTAAATACATACATGAAAGACAGTGAATTATTTAAATACTATTAAAATCAACAAAAAATTCAGGAAACAGAAGTGTGTTATACATAGTGCTAAAAATGTTGTGCTGGAGTTTAATTTCTTTGTTAATGTAATGGAGCGTTAACTTAAGTTATGCTGACAGTGTAGCACCTTTAATTATTACTCTTATCATGGGTTTCCATTACAGTGAAATAAAAAGGAAACAAAAAGGGTTAAAAGTGGCAAGAAAAGTACACTTTAACCAGTACAAGTAGTTTAAAAACCCAAAACAGAACCTTTCTGTGGAATATATTGTCTTGTATGTAAGACTAAGACCTAGGCATTCATATGCAGTAATTATCTGTAAGTGTGGTGATGCTATGACCAATATTGATGTTTCAGGGGTCTTACCCAGCCAGTGAGCTGGCTGCAATCCCTATGGAATGCCTAGTAAATTTGTCTTCTTGTTTTCAGCACCCTCGTCCCATGTACGTGGCTTGCATCTGGAAATACCTTTAACCAATAGTCTAAAGTTACCTAAAGGGAATAGTAAAAAAAAGAGGTCTTCCACATCAGTGAGCTCTGAAGGGACAGAGGTACAGTGCTCTGTGCCCATAAAGGAGAAGTGTTTTGAGAGTCTGAAGGAAAAAATATTAAAGAACATGATTGAGAAGGACAAGCATTCAGAAGTTGGTAAACTACAACACTTTTTGTTTCCAGTGCTTTAGATTATAAAAATAATTGTAAAATGATATTAAAAATAATTTTCATGTTTGTATCTTATTACTGTGTGCCATTAGGATGTCTTATGGTCTAATGACTTTTACAAGAAAGTAGGTCATCAGCCAGACATTGGCCTTATGTTGTATATTCTTCCATTTGCAGGTGCAGCGAAAGTGGAAAGAAAAGGAAAACTGGAAGAGAAAAGTTCTTCAGCGTATGGTATGTAGAGTGCAGTATTATTTTTAGGGAAAAAAAAGGAGAAATTCTCTTAACACTTCATGTCTCTGAAGAGCAAATGTGAAAGCATAAAATATTTCCAGGGCCCAGCTGCACCACTTTTGTTCTTTTAGGTCTTAAAAACAGTTTTTACATATATGACAGGTTTATAATAGAGGAATAATTTTATAAGATAAAATTAAAGTGTCCGTAGCAAGGATTTTGAAGGATCCAGAGGTACTTATGAGATGCCTGCTGCCTCTGGATTTTCATTTTGGTTGGTTTTTTTTTTTGTGAAATGAATGATACTGGTTATTTCATTGTACTGACAGGTTCGAGGTGGGAGGAGCAAAATATTTGGCAATTCATGAAATAAAATATAGGAGGACTTTGGTTTTATCCTGTGTTTAAAATAAATTGTTAGAGACAGGCGAGAATTCCTAAGTGCTTCTTCCTAAGTAAAAGTTTTGTTTCTGTATTCTTCAAGATAATAAGACTCCAATTTGTGTGCAGGAAATAATCCTTAAATGCTGACTTTAAGGCTTATTTTTTGTAGCAAGTTAATGTCATTGTTTGTCTCACTGCTTATTATTAAAAAAATGATTGTGGAGTGAGACTGTTGTAGGGTGTATTTTGTCTGGGGAGAATTAACAGGGTAAGTAGAATTTTTCAGAGTCAAAATACTTGTCCTCATGTATACCAACAGTAGTTAAAAGTGAACTGCAGTGTAAAAATATGTCACATTCTAGACAGAATCAGTTTTCTGTGAGAATATGACTGTATAGTGCAAAGTGCTGACAGCATCAGCAGATCTGTGATACTGAAATTTCCTTCAAATATCTTTATATAGGCCTAATACGTGTTTTTAGGGCAATGTTATCCTTATAACTGGGAATTAAGCACTTCTGAAAGCTTTTTCTCTTGTCCAAATCTTTTTGTTATAAACTGTAAGTAAAATAGATGTTATAAGCTCTTTAAATGATGTTACACATTTTGTGTGCTTTGCTGTATCTTTTTCTGCTATGATATCTCATTTGGAAATACTAAAAGTAGTAAAATATTATTTCTTGAATGAGATTCCTTTGAACCATTGTACCAGCAGCTAAGGAGAGATGTGCCCAAGATAGCGAGTAAACTAAATGAATCACTTTGATCTGATTAGACAACTAGAACACTTGATTTTGAATGTGTCTTTTTAGGTTAAGCTGAATACTACTGCTGTTTTAAATTGTTTAATTTTTGTTTCAGGTAAAAAGAGAGAAAAAGAAAAGGAGAAAAAAGAGAAAAAGGAAAAAGATCATAAACCAAAACAGAAAAAGAAGAAGAAAAAAAAGAAGAAATCTAAACAGCATGGTAAGTTCAATTTATATTTTTTAAAATGAGTAAAACTACTCAGTATATTCCTGGCTTTAGATTGTAAAACTTGTTTCTAAACAATACTGATGTCAAATTTTAGAAATTTCAAGGAATAACTTCTGGCCTTAAATATGAAAAGGACGCTTAGGTCTGTGACCTCTTTGTTTTGTGTGTGTGGGGGTTTATACCCTGTCTCTATGTGACAGGCACAGATATTTCATAGATCTTTTTTCTTCCTCCAAAAGATACACTTACTCTTTTCATCTCTTTTAATTCTTCATTTGAAGCTCTATATATATGTCCTACCTATTTTGCTTGGACATTAAAATTATTCTAGTATTTAGTCTATTGCTAAATTTCAAAGGTTTACTGTAGACAATACAACCCCTCCTCAACAGTTAATCCTTAACAGCTGAGGTTGGCGTCTCTGTTGTAACAGCCTTGTCTGTTGCCTTGACAAATGGGGATTATGTTATGTGGATTATGTGTTTCTCTGTCCAAAATTTGTGCTATAACATGAAAATGCTTCCAAATCATGCAGTGCTTGAGTGTGAATTGCAGTATTGTAGGTTTCGTGTACTTCACCGTATTTAGATTGGAGTAATACAGTTTTAAGCTATAAACTTTAATTGCCTATTTTACCTAAAAATTATTGGGATTCTTTACTTGCACTGAGAAGACATCTAAGTATTTGCAAGACGATACTGATAAATGCTAGGTATGTGCCCAGTATTGTTCTTTGGTTTTGTCTTGATATCGTAAGGTGGTTTGCTGTGGGTTGTTTGTTTGTGTTTTTTTCATCTTTTTATACCTTTGGTCTTTCTCCCACCTTGTCTTGAAACTTAGAAACATGGCAGAGGTACCCATGACTAGGTTCTAACTGTCCAGTGTTTGTAAATATGAGAAGAAAATATGCCCAGTGCCCCAACGAATAGAAATGTTAAATCCAGAGGCAGAAAACAATGAGTAAAACTTGAACATTCTTATTCTTATCAAATTCATCTTGTGAAAATCTGGTTTTAGCAATACAGAGGTATTCTGTCTGGCCTTTTTTTTTTTTTTTAAATTGGAGAAAAAAGAAAAATTCTTTGGTGGATTCTGACTCGAGTGTCTGACCCTGAAAAAGCCTATCTGTCAAAATAAATAGGACTCTTTCTCCAGGACTAGTGCACTCTACTCCAGGCATGAACAAAAGTGTAAGGGTGTGAGACATGCTCCTTTAGTTTGGAGTCAGATTGAGGCATCTTTGGGAAGAACAGGGAATGGGCACGTTGTGTGCACCAGATAAGTTTTGCACAAGACTTCAAAACAAACAAAAACTGGATTTGTTCTCTGAGTGTATATATGAAATGCTGATTGTGCAGAAGGTAGGTAACACCTGTTATTGATACTACTCTGTTACAGTGAGGTTGATAGCAATGCTGTTGAAATAATCAGCTCAACTACTCGAGTTGATTCCTCTACAGTGAATATCCTTGGGAAATGATGGAGATAGTGTGCTTTTGACAAGAGAAATTAAAGAGGAACAGTGACTTCATGGAGGGTTATTTAGGGGAGAAGGATGTTGTGGAACCCATTACAGGAAAGCTGTTACAGGTGGGATCAGGAATGCTTCCTACAGAAGGATGAAAGTGTACAAATCTGATTACTCACTTATATTCAAAGTAATAAGTTTTAAGAGAAGTAAATGGATGGGGACTCGTATTTACCAGTTGAAGACATGGACTTGCTTAAGTGGGTCCAGAGGAGGCCATGAAGATGATCAGAGGGCTGGAGTACCTTCCCTATAAGGAAAGACTGAGAGACTGTTTAGCCTAGAAATGAGAAGGCTCTGGGAACACCTTACAGTGGCCTTCTAGTACTTAAAGGAGACCTACAGAAAGGATGGGGGTTCTTTATGAGGGAGTGTAATGGTAGGGCAAGAGGTAACAGTTTTAAAATGAATGAGGGACAATTTAGATTAGATATTAGGAAGAAATGCTTTATTGTGAGAGTGATGAGGCTCTGGAACAGATTTCCCAGAGAAGTTGTGGATGCCCCATCCCTGAAAGTGTTAAAGGATGGGCTGGATGGAGCCCTGAGCAATCTCATTAACCCCAAGCATCACTTGCCCAGGACTATGTGCAGACAACTTTTCCATGTCTCCAAGGAGGGAGGCTCATTATCTCTCCCAGAACAGATCAGACTTGGGGCGTGCCGGACAAGTGTTCTGACCACCAAACTATTTATGCACAACTGGCCCTCTTTATCCTGTTATTCCCCTATTCTCCCCAAATCACTTTGGTCCATCCATTTTCCCCACCTTTGTTTTCATTCATAAACATTCCATAATGAGTCTTTTGCAATCCCAAAATTATTTTCCCCTACATCCCATAGTGTGCCCCATCTCTGGGCTCTAACCACCCTTAGTCCAGAAGGTGATCCAGAGAGTCCTCTGGGTAACATATGATGTGTTTCATACATGGACAATGGAGGCAATGGCGCTGCTGGGAAAGCCCTGAGAGGGGCCTGGGCAGGGTGTGCTTGTTGTTTGCCTGCTCATCCTCCTTCTCTGGGCTTGTGTATATTCTCCTTGGGTGCTCCTGGGCCTGTCCCAGGATGCGTTGGCCTGTCGATGACTGGTGGCTCCTGACATGGCCTTGGGAGCATCCCAAGAGGGTTTTCTTTGGGCTCCCTATGTCCCTCTGCAGGTGTGCTGACAAGCTTTTGTCACTCACACTGACAGGATCTGTGATTACCTCTGGGTAGCAACGTTGGTAGTGCTGCAAGCAGACCTAAGGCAAAAGGGAGAACTACTAGCAGCATCTCTAAGGATAGCAGGTGGTACAGGGATGAATTGTGGAAAAAGGAGACTATAATGTTCCGGGAAAAATTGTTCCTCTGTACATTCAGAGATATTCAGAGATTGGGGGGGATTAAATTGGTGATGCTTGTTTTAACTATCAAACTTGATTATGTTTCTTACTGGAATTCTTTTAATAAAATGTTACAAAGCAGTTTTGCCATTTTGTAGTTTCATTTTCATCCTCCTGATACCTCAGTGTTAATATTCTGTACTTCTGAGCATAATGTTGCAGTATAAACAGTATTTTTTTTTTTGCATTTGTCATAAACTACTTTTGTAAGAGCAATTTTTCTTTTAACTTTTCAGATTATTCAGATTATGAAGACAGTTCTGTTGAATTCTTGGACAGGTGCTCCTCTCCCTTAACCCGGTCGTCGGGCAGCTCCCTGACTTTGCGCAGCATGTTCTCGGAGAAGAACACAACCTACCAGTATCCAAGAGCTATTTTGTCTGTTGACCTTAGTGGAGAAAGTAGGTTGGCTGAACAGCAAATTTCGGTTTACATGTTTAATGCTTTAAGAAAGAGAATTAAAAGAAAATAATTCAGCTTATGTTTGGATTGTAGCTATAAATATGGCGACTGATTTAACCTTCATCTGTTTAAATCAAAATACTCCTCAAGCTGTTCTGCATTATACTTACTTTGGTTAATTGTTGCTACTCTGCTTCTGAGGAGAGCACCTTAAAGACATTTTGCAGAATTCATCGTGAAATCTGATATACCAGCAGTGTGTTTGAGAGCGATTTTTTTTTTTTCCTATACGCAGGTTAAGATTTTTTAACTGCCAAAATCCCTGTATTTCTCTGAATTATTGTGCCTCTCTACACACAATTTCACATGTATTTATTTTTATTAGACCTTTCAGATGTGGAGTTCTTGGATGATTCTTCCACAGAGAGTTTGTTACTTAGTGGTGATGAATACAATCAGGATTTTGATTCAACTAACTTTGAAGAGTCTCAGGATGAAGATGATGCTCTCAATGAAATTGTTAGATGCATTTGTGAACTGGATGAAGAAAATGGCTTTATGATTCAGGTAAAGAAATTTGTTGTGTGGAGTTGCATTTTCCATGGGATTGTTTTGCTCTGAAGGTGCCCTTTTGATGTATTGGAGACGGAAGTTATGTAGAGAGCGGTAAATAAAGTGAACAATAACAAAATATCTTTTGTTCTGCACTTGGCTTGGCTCTCTTCAGAGTGCGTGCAGAACTGTTGCTCTAGGATGGGGTTTCTCTTGCAATTTGATATGTAGGAAAGATTTTCTTTATAGACAGCTGATAAATTTGGAATAAAGTATCCTTTCCCACACAGAAAGTGTGGCATCTGTCCCCAGACCATCCCAATTATATGAGCCCTTCTGCCTTGGCCCTTGTGCTTTACAGTACCTACACTTGTAGAAACCTCTCTACTCACTGTAAACGACCCTCAGCTGTGACATTACTCCTCTGCAGAAACTAATATTGTCAGTACTGTGGTGTGTGTGCTTTATCTTTAGAACAGCACTTCTCACACTGGATATCACTACCAGGTTTTAGAAACTGCTGAGAATTTAAATCTTAACTTGGTATGGATAAAAGGGAAGAAGAGTATATCATGACAGCATTCAAATGTTGATGGATTGCAACTCCTGCTGCTTATTTATTTATACTCCAATAAGGAGGGCACTTCCCATCTACTAATGAGTAATTTCAAGTCTTTTTCTCAAGGCATTTATAATGTAGTGAGTAAATCAGATGCAAACAACAGTAAGGAAGAACTTGGTTGTGAGTAACTTTAAAAAACCCATGAATTTCCTGTAGTTTTCCCCCCCGCCCCCCATTCAGAAAACAGGTTTATATTCTACTGTGACTGTGGTGCAACTTCTTTTGAAAGTGTGGAGCTTTTTTAGTCAAGATTTGAAGGAAGCAGGTATGGCTGTCCTGTGTTAGTGGACTTAGTCTTTTGGAAATGACAGAGCCCTGAAAATGAAGGACACAGAGTCTGTGTCTGGGAGCAGAAGTGCTGTTTTGGAGGAGCTGAGCAGGAGTTTGGCTTATGGTAATGATGTGGACCAATGGACTGGTGTAGAAATCTTTGGAGAGAGGAGAGGAAGTTGTAGCCATAGTGGTATGACAGGAGGAAAGGTGACTGGTGTTTTAAATGGGTTGATACTCAAAAGCAAGTCAAAGCAAAGAGGAGAGATTTTTCAGTAGTAAACCAGCACATATTTAAAACACTGGCAAGCACAGAGTTGAGAAAGGGAAATGTCTTTATAAGAGGTAGTTTCCTGCCTGTTCCTGAAGTCCAGTGGCAGCCTGATTTTTTCCTCTTCATGCTTCATCTCACTGAGAGCAACTAGTTTGCTGTTTCTAGACCCTCATTTGCTCTCTTCTGCTTTACTCTTCTATTCTCTTGTTTCTCCTCATTCATTTTCTCTTCATTTTCTTTTTCCTTTAGATTTTCCATTGGTACGATATTAAAAGCACATCTTTCTAGCGCACTGGAGAGATGCTTTGTAAATATAAATAATTAAACTGAAGAGTTTTCTGCTTTTCACTGTTATGCTGTAATGTATTACATTATCTTTCTACTTTACTGTAATATTATACTCCTGTCTTATGTTTCACTACTAAATATGTAGGTGCTAAAATACTGAATGTTGTAATAAAATATTATTAAATATTACATCTTCAGTTTCTTTTTTTTTTCTCCAGTTTGGAATTTGTGGTTGAGGTAACTTTCAGAACTAGAGCTCTTTTTTTATCTTAATGTCTTTGCCTACCCAAACACAAATTGCCCAACTAAAATGATCATGCTCAAACCAGCTATTTAACTTAAACTGCTGTTCTTTGCATTTTGATGATACAAGAAATGGCTCCTGATTTTTTGAATCTACTTATCTCAGATTTAGTTTTTCCTTTTGATTTTTTTTTTTCCCCCGATGTCAGTGTGAAGAGTGCTTGTGTTGGCAGCACAGTGTATGCATGGGACTGTTGGAGGACAGCATTCCAGATCAGTACATCTGTTACATCTGCAGAGATCCACCAGGTATGGGTAAACCACCTTTATCTGCAGCTCTCTGCTTGGGATTTTTGAGCAGAGATGTTATGCATTGCTTAAATTGTTAACGCTTTGTCTGTTTTGTGTTATGTGTTTTGCTTCTTTGGGGCGAGTGATTCTAAGTTTGGCTCTCAGCAGAAACTTACTTTCCTGTTAGAAACATCTTGGTCAGCTGTGCTAAATCTTACTCATATTGCTTTACATGTTGAAACTGAATTCCCCCAAAACCTTAGAACTTTTTTATGTCTGTGTAGTGTGGGAACTTCCAAACATCATTCTTGTTCAGAGATCTGTTTTGCCAATACTTGGAATCACATTTCATTTAAATATTTTTTAGAGAAAAAGGACTGATTACTTCAGTACACTCAAAAATGCTGTGGAAGTAATTTCTTATTAATTACAATTTTATAATGTTTGCATTTGCCCCAAACTGTGCAAAGATGTGGCACTGACTCTGTAAAAGACAGAAAAATCTAACACTTTTTATGGTAAACAGCAGTGCACGAACAGCACACGTTGAACTTGGTTCAGCTTTTAAGAACTAGGAAAATTCTATTTACTTTTAAACTGAATACATTTGATTAGGAAGGTGTTGATTTAAAAACAGTTCTCTGATAAACCCATTTTTCTTAATGCGTATTTGGAGAAAAACTGTACAATTTGGAAGAAAATTTTTTGTATTTTTTTATGACGGGTGATACAAATGCACATACCTGTCTTCTGGTGAAATATCCAGCACTCCAGCTGTTTCAAAAGGGCAATGAGACTTCAAATTTACTTTCATTATAAGTTTAAGAAGTGAAATCTGAAAACTGTTTGCAGAGTTTTTATTAGCTGTTTTTGCGAAGAAATATTAGGAAAATAGAACTGGAAAGATGTGACTTTGTTCCATTTGCCCCAGTCTGAATCTAATCTGGTTGTAGAGAGTCTCTTTTGATAGTTCTGTGTGGTGTCTCTTTGAGCAGTCAAGTTTTTTCTTACTAGACCCAGCAAATTTGTCTTGTGTTCTTTCCCTGCACTGTGCTAGGTACTTCGTTTTCCCCTGCTATGCAGAGTCTGTGTCCCTAATTTTTATCTTCTCTCCCTTCCTAACCATTACTTCTTTTCTTTCTATGTCAGGAGAAAAAAGTCATTCTCAATGTCAGTATTTTAAAGTGTATTGGGATAATGGGCAAAAAGGAGATAGACAGGGTATTCTCCTGAAAGGTATGAAGGGCTTCCATCAACCCATTCTTTGTTCTGTATATGATGATAGTCTGATTTGAAATTGAGTGTAAGATATTTTGGTCAGTCCATTTGGGTTGCTTGTTATAAACAATAATGTTGCAATAATTAGCATTATGCATTTCTAGTTTGGGGATTTTTGGTTTTTTTTGGTGGGGTTTGTTTTGGTTGTGTTTTTATTATTATTGGTTGAATTTGATTGGGTTTTTTGAATAAGCATTGAGTTCCTGTAGAAGCATTAGGTAAATACTCGTTCATGCTGGTTGGATTAAGGCTGTAGATGTTACCATGGCATGGGAGACCAAGGGCCCACATACAGCAATACCCTGATATCTGGTGAAAGGCACCTCAAAGGAGAATGTAAGAACTCTGCTGTCAGATAACTTTGTAATATCTGCTTTTGTGAAGCCTTCTCCTGACTTCTAATAAATAGACACTGACTTGAGTATTAAAGCCAAACACTGGTCTTTTAGAAACAAGCTAGGTTTTTTGGATATGTCAGTATAAAATGCACTCTCTAACATTTCTCTTGGTAACTTAGGCTTCCTTTTTCTTACAAAAAAGTAAGCTGCAGTATTTAGATAAATAAAATGCCAATTTAAACTTCTTTTTTGGTGATTATTTTGATAATATCACAGTTCTTAATATCATATAATTTGATGGCAAAGATGATTAGATTTTAATTTCAAATGCCATTTGGAGAGATCTTGAGGTTTCAGGCTTATTTTTGTTTTCATACGTTTTAAGACTTTCTTCTTAATCCATGAAAACTAAATTTTAATATATTAATAGCAAGATCTTGAGTTGTCCTTTTATGGATGTTAGGAGACATTTAGGAGAGTACAGCATATAATTATAGCACTTGAGTTGTAAATGTAATTCTGCTGTGACTTTAGATGGCCCTCAATTTGTTTATTGCTCACCCCAGGACAGCGGTGGAGTGCCAAATATCTTTATGACAAAGACTGGCTAAACAATGGACACATGTGTGGATTATCATTTTTGAAAGAAAACTACTCTCATCTTAATGCCAAAAAGATTGTGTCAACACATCACCTACTGGCAGATGTTTATGGTGTCACGGAAATACTGCATGGGTTGCAGTTGAAGATCGGGATATTAAAGTAAGTATCATCCAAGGTTCATTTTCCAGCTGTAGATATTCAGGTAGCAGAGACTACCATTGTCCCATATACATTTTTCTCTCACATTAGAATTCTTTCTTGTATAATAGTTTAAGTAATTCAAGTGCAAGATGTAGAATACCCTCAACTTCATTGGGAGTTAGGTGTTCAGTATCTAAGAAGATATGATGTATTGGGATAATTGGTGATTTTTTTTTTTTTGTCAATTTTATTTTTCAAGGGACGTTCTAGATTTATCCTAAATTGATGAGTGACCTACGAATACTTAGTGTTTGATGATGGTGCTTATCAGTAGCTGAGATCTAGCAAAACTAGATGTTTAATAGTTCAGTGCTGTAAGTGGTGCTCTCTGTAACTTGATTTTTTTCCTCCCCTTCATTGCAGAAATAAGCATCACCCAGACCTTCATCTCTGGGCTTATTCAGGGATGCGAAAAGAACAAGAACAAAGAACTGTTGGGGTAGAGAAAAAATTAGTAACTTTACAGGATGCTGTTAATCCAGCTGAAAGGACGTGTCATAGTCAAAACCATAAAGAACCACCCAGTATACCCCCGAAGATGGAAGAAACATACATCACAAGTGAGCACAGTTACCAAAAACCACAGAGTTTTAGTCAAGACTACAAAGCAGTCACTGACCCTATGAGCTCAGATGATGAAGACACAAGTAGTTTTGAGGAAGATCAGGAATTTCACACAGAGAATAAAAACTGTTTACAATATTCTTTTAAAGATGGTGGCATGAGTGAGCAGGTAAGTATCCTCCTTCATCTGGGGAGTTTCTTAGTTGGACCACTATGTTCAGTCTGATCAAGCTGAAGCATATACAAGTATTTAAAAGTGCAAGTCAACATGTTATATCAGATAAGTCAGCAGAAAGCACGAGAAGCAAAGTTGGATCACTGAAACAGTTTCAGGTGATGTATATTCATTTCAAATGCAAAGTATGGTTCAAGTATTGCCTATACTAAAACTTCTATACTCAATCCAGTGTTTTGAGAGGGGGAAAACCCCTTATGCTTAAAATGCAGGGTCTTGGAGCAGAACTTAAGTGGTTTTTGAAGGTGAGGAAAAATGGATACGTTTCCATTTTTCTATCAGTTCTGTTATCTAATGTGGAGGGGGTTTTTTTTTGTTAAACAGATTTTTAGTAGTGTTTATTATTGTACTGTATTCTTCAATAGCAACACTATCTGGAATGGCTGTTCACAAGTAATAATTTACTGAGCAACTAATTTCACCTCATATGCAACTTCTTTTCTGTCTTTTATATTGCATATTTCTTCTAATTAAATGTTTTACAGATTTTTAACCAGTATTATATTTTGCTATTTAAACATCTCTCTCTCATTTTTACATTAATGGTTTGAATCCATTATTTGGTGGAAAAGGTCTGAAACTTGTTAGTCTGGTTTTAGTGAAGAGTTCTCTTTGAACAAAAAGCAAAGTGAAACAAACCTGTTTTCTACAATACCAACTGTGTGAAAATAAATCACCCAACTCATCCCCCTTTTTGAAGTACTGTTTCTGGTGTGGAAGAAATGAGTAAGATTCACCTTTTTTTCCTTTGAATTTTGGTTTTAAATGTGGCATGTAAGCTATATAGTCTGAATGGGAAATTTTTGGCTCATTCTAGTTTGTAGTTGAAATAACTGTTTGTATGCTAAATCACAGGACTGTATTCAGTTTGTATAACGAGGAGTTGTGCATCAGTGTTAAATACACTTTCTTTCCAACAGTAGCTTAAATTATCATTGTAAACATTATGAATACATTTAGAATTAAAAGAAAATATATGTGAGTAGTGAAACAATGTTTCCTTTAGAGACTCAAGCATATATCTAAAAAGCTAGGTGCTTTCTGTTTTAAGCCAAGAAGAGATCTGCTTAGGGTAGTGTCAATGTTTTTTCCTTTAGGACACCTTAATTCACCTTGTCAGTAACCTTGACACTAAAATAAGTCCTTCTGTCTAAATGTGATAGGCATGGAAAAGCTCTCCTTGGCATCTCCATGAACCTGTTATGACTTGCCTTAAAAGTGGCATTGAAGGGCCATCTTTAGATGATCTGACTTCCCTGTGAGGTGCTGCCTTCACCTCTCCTTGTGAAAGTTTTAGTTAGGGCTTTGAATTCTCCTTTCTAGCATCCTGCAGAGCCTTGAATATTCTGGTTTTTCACACTGTTTTGTCTTAATCTGCAGTTCTGTTGCTTACCTTCTTTTCTCTTATAAACAGTATTTGGATTGAGTGTTATCAAGTCCCTTTTTGAAATAGTATTTAGTTTCCTTGGTTTTGCTTCTGAAAGAACAAGCCTTCCCCACCTGAACCTTCAGTTTATTTCTTCTTCACAAACTGGATCCTATACTCTGCTTCTCCTACCATTGCTCCCTGATTGCCTACATTGATCCCTGTTGGATTTTTGGGGTTTTTTTTCCAAGGAGCATTTATTAACTATTTGAATAAATACAGAGGTCATTAGAAGGAAAAAACTGACTTTATGATGTTATTTAGGTGTTATTTAGGTTTGAAATTTTTTCTGACTTACTGGACGTATCTGAAAGGTGATTTTGGATTTAGAATTATGGACTTGGGCCCTTATACAGCAAGGGAAAAATGTCATTCTTGAGGGTTTAGAGAGGGTCTGAAAATTGTAAGGAATAGGGCTTTTCTTATTTATGTTGGAAATATCTTCCATAAAATTAATAGCAATTTGAATACTCAAAACACTGTGGAGGCAAACCTGATAGCTTGAGAGAAGAGAGATTTTATCTGAAAGGTGTGAGAGTTTTGAGGTTTTTATGTCTTTTAAAATCTATCTTTAATACATAACTTTAACTCCTTTAATGAACATTGTGAGTATTAGCAATACTTGTCCCCCACAACTTGCTGATAAAGCTGCCAGCAGGTCAATCTAAGTTTTATTTGTTTTGGGGTTTTTTAAATTGATTTTAAGTCTTAAAAAGAAAGTTAGTGGTTTTTTTGCTTGAGTAGTAACTTAAAATCCATCAGTCCCTATTTTCTTTTACTCCTTCTTAACTGGAGGAAGAAATATTTTGATAACAGACTTAACAACATTCTTTTCTTATGTGATGTGGAAAATTAGCTGAGCTCTTCAGAGAAGTGTATTAATACAATAAGATTAACTCCTTGCTCTGGCCTTTGCCATGAACTGACACTGTGTGAGCACATGTATCCGGCATTCTAGTTCTTCAAATAGAATCTTCAGTAGTGAGAGAACTTCACTGGATATGAAATCATAGTGGATATAAAATGGAAACTGTTAATCCTGCTAATTAATGGAGATGCTGAATATTTTAACTCATTAAATCTCTTATACTTCTTTCCAGTAGCTGAAATATCAAATACAGGAAGATTAGGAGCTTTTGTATTATCTCTGAGTTGCTGTGAAGATACTAATTATTTCAAAGAAGTCAGTCTTCCTCAGATACTGTGTTTGCATAACCCTGTGTGTTACTGTAACTGTCCCCAGATATGTTCAGTTCTGTCCCAGACTTGCACTTGGGAGGCAGGTGGGACCATAGCAGGTAGGAGGAGAAGTATTTTGTCTTAATCAGCAAATAAAACAGGTTGCCCAGAGAGGTTGTGGAGTCACTCCCTCACTGGTGATATTCCAGAACCACCTGGACACAATCCTGTGCCATGTGCTCTGGGGTGACCCTGCTTGAGCAGGCAGGTTGGACCAGATGACACACTGTGATCCCTTCCGACCTGACGCATTCTGCGATTCTGTGAACGAAAATGACCAGCTTATTCCTGCCAGAAAATAACTGTGGACATCTTAGATACTACTGCATTTTAGGAAGTTTTCCTTCATGGAAACAAACTGTAGGATTTTGCACATTTTTGGTGACAGTAGACCCAGACAGTTCAACATTTCATGATTTAAGTTGCTATTTATATAAGAAGGGCACAGAAGTGCAATCTATCTTACTGCATTAAACAAAGTGCTTGAGCTGGTAAACCTTAGCATTAGGGAAATGAGGCAGGAGGTGTTATATGCTCATTTGTATGGAATTTGCATTTTGTTTGGTTTAGTCTATTGATGTGTCATGCTATGTGGCTTTTTGAGTATGCTTTTTGTCATGTAGGCAGAAGTACAGTTCTAAGCCAGCCTAGTTTATCATGTGACTTAAATGTTGAAATCAACACCAGAAATTAAAACAAAGAAAAAAACCATCTTAAACGGCAATTTTTTTTTCTTTCTGTTGCTCCTATGAAGAAGAATTCTGCTGAAGGAAACACAGTGTTTGTTTGTAATGAAAGGAAAGGCTCAGAAGAACAAGTGGACACACATCTTCAATGGCAGCTAAATCTCCTTACCCACATAGAGAATGTACAGAACGAAGTCACCAGCAGAATGGACCTGATTGAAAAAGAAGTTGATGGTAACTGCATTGCCAGATAATTGTTAATGCACCTGTAACATCTGCCATAGCCAATATATTCAAGGGGATCTGAGACCCTGAGGATGGATTTTTAAGTGTTGTGTTCAACCTTGGGTCCCAGGATTATAAACAGAGCTCGTATCCTTGATCCCCTCACCCCCATCCAAAAGTTTTTAGTGCCCAATAAAGTAGCTTAAGCACTTTATTGTGTTCAGAACCCCTGAGCTCAAAGTTTGTGATATTTGACAGACTTCAGAAAGCTTAGATAACTTACCTAGTCTTTGTCCTGATGTGGATCATGTAGTTGATGAATTTTTCTATGTCCGAAGTGGTTTTTGCATGATTGTTCTATTAGTCGACAATATTCTGGGAAAAAAACCAGATGTGTTCATTCTGCCTTCAAGGTTGGTGTATATTAGTAAACAGCTCATTTCATGAAGACAATTCAGTCTTCATGAGAAAACTTGAATGAAATAGTGTAGAAGAATATTACAGCACTTAAGTTTCTATGACTTGCCTGTCATGGAAATCAGGAATGAGAGGAGCTTGTAGTCTAATCATAGGAGTCCTTAATTTTCTTTTGACAAACAAAGTTGTCTTATTTCTATTTGCAGTTTTACTTCCAATATTCCTGCTTTTACTCAGCAGTATTTCTAAGCTAACAGGGTTGACCTTTCCCCTTCTCTGTTTCTACAAGCATAGAAATTCCTTGAAAACATTTGTTGAAGGTTGGACAGCCATTCTGTAATCTGGACCTTGACCACAAGAGCTTGTTACAGTGGCACAAGCAAGCCCTACATTTAAGGGTTGCATTTTCTGTTACAGAACTGTCATAGAAGATTGTGAACCAAAGTTGCTTTTATTTGTGTAGATGGTAAATTGTAAGCCAAGAGTATAAATTACTCCCAGGTACCTTTTTATAGTAACAATCAAATCAGAAGATATGTTTGCATTGTTTAAAATAAACAGGGAATTAGTTGATGTTTCCCTAATAAAAGTTTTTTTAGTGAAATAAATATCACACCCTTGGTGTATTTTTCCCTTGTTACAAAAGACAGAGAGTAAGAAAGCAAAGTTTAATTTTTATGGAAACTGTTTCTTGAAGACTTATTCTAATCGATTTCTTCCTTTTCCTTCTGTAGTTTTAGAAAGCTGGCTTGATTTCACTGGAGAACTGGAACCACCAGATCCTCTGGCAAGATTGCCTCAGCTCAAGCGACGTATCAAACAGCTCTTAATTGACATGGGGAAAGTACAGCAAATAGCAACACTTTGCTCTGTATGACAAAAGGAAGAATAAAGAAATAAAAATAGGTTCTTTACAGTGAATTTTCTTACTAGCCACAAGACTGACAGGAAGACAGCAAAAAGCTGAACATTTGTCTGGTTCTTTGCTGATTACGTTAATAGTCTGAAGATTTAGAAAGAGGAGAGGAAGTTTAGAGTCAGGGATCTGTTATACTGAAAATATTAAAATTTTCAATGGTGTGTGATATACTGAGAAATGTCAATGTCTCAGGATTTCAACATGTTAAACAAGTAAATCCCCATATACAAGCAAGTTGAACAAAGAAAAACTCTGCAAAGAGCTACTATTTTTAAACCTTGGGCAAACATTTCTAAATTAGCAGAATTCAGCTGACTAAAAATTCAATCCTCTTATCTTACTAGTGAAAGATAGACACAGAGAGATCTGTATTCTCTCTACAAGGAAAGTTTTTAGATTATTTTCTTCTCTCATGAGGTTCAGGAAGATGAACATACTAGCTTTGATTTTTGAAAGAAATTACTTATCATGGTTTCCTTTTGAAAATATTTTTTTACATAGAAATCCCTAGAACAGCACCCCTAGGCTCCTTTAAAACATAAGTGGCAAATACTGGTCAGATGTGCCAAATGATGTTAAAACCACTGGAATGAGAGTTGGATTATGACTTATGTGAAGGTTTTTTTCCAAAGTCCTACTTGGTGCCAGCAATCCATCCAAAATTGTATCTAGTTTAAATTTTTTTATGTTCTACTGCAGTATTCAGGAGTCAAGGTACAGATTTTGTCCTGGGTAGCTCTATTCTGGTATTGGCCCTCTGAAAACTTCACCATCCTCAGCTGGGATGAGGAATGAGGAGAGCAGCAAAACTGTCTGTGGCTGTGAAAATTCTAAACCACTGGAGAAAATATCACAAGATACCTTATCCAAGATGGTTTTTTTATAAAATCTTTCAGCTTCAGTAAATGAAATGTCATGAAACCAAAGGCAGCCTACTTGCTCTGTTAGCTCTTGCTGGATTTTGAGCCCGGGACTTTTCCTGTGGTTATAAGTTGCCGCTGTATCCAGTGCTACTTACATGTCTGTATGTGTATGTATGTGTGGACAGACACACATGTACATATATACATACTATATACATTTCTATCTACACATGTCTAGTTTTAGTACAATAGACTATAAGAACTGGTGGTTCATGTTACCTTTTAACAAGCAGTTTCTAAAATTGAAAATAATGTATGTACAGGTTTTGAAATTTGTAAAATATGACTGTTAAAAGGAGGCTATTTAACTGAGGACATTAAGATACTTGAACATTTTATGCCTCACATCTGTTTATCAGTTCTAGTTATCTGTATAAATGCATTTTAGAACCGATAGACAGTAAACTTGAATTTACCTTTTGATAAGAGTACAAGCCACTGTACATTCAAAAATTTATTTAAATTTGCAAACACACTGTTCTATATGTAAGGTACTGTATGTAAAACTGTTTATTAAACCTATTCTGCATACTCTACATTTTCCACTTTTCTTCCTGATCTACAGATAAATGTAAAAAAGAAGTGATTGTTATTATGTACAGACCATCAAAAAATCTTGGAATGCCTTTTAAGGATACATACAATTGAAAAATGTGCCAAAGATGGATTATCTGGGAAAGACTTTGCAACCATTGCATTGAACTTTCATGATAAAACCATTATTGAGAAAGAAAACAGAGTGATTGGTTCATTGCTAAAATAAACCTATCCTGACCTTTCCTGTTTGTCTATCATATCTGAAGTGAGTTATCACTCCTGATGGCCAAAGCAAAATGTAACTCTCTATTACAGAATGGTTGCTATTTAAAAAGTCTTCCCACATCAAGCTTGTAGGAGACATCACAGGGCTGCGTGGTAACATGGAAATATGGAATGGTTTGCAACTCCATATTGCAGAAGGAACATATGAGCTGAGGAGTTGTTGATGTTTCATAGCAACTGTTAATAAATAAAATAACTCTGTGTTATATAGTTGATGCTTAAATAACTGCTTCAAACAATACGAAGAATTGAGTGACCTACTTGCTTTTGGATATGTGAGACTTTTTATGTACTATTCACTTGCTGCATATCCCTGAATGTGGTACTGTGTGTACTGTATAAGAGAAGTGTAAATCCAGATGAGTTACTTTGAAACAAAGTGGAGTATATTTACAGAATTTATACAGCATACACTGTAGCACTATTATGCAATGTGTGTGCATGCATGTGATGTAATATGATTGTAAATGTTACTGAAGGTGGACTTAGTGGAGAGGACAGAGGTTTTACTTTTAGTGCAAAGATTGAGGAATAGTATCCTGAACAGGAAGTACTAAGGTCGAAGTTGAAGTTGCACTTGCAGCTTTAATGTGTCTTCTGTTTGTATGTGTAATGGCCTCTGAATTTACATGAATATGTAATTTTATCCCTCAAGATCCTGCCTTGTTCAGGATGGACTGTGCTTACAAAAACAGTCTGTTCAGTATTTTTTTAATTTTCATTGTGTAGTCATGTATTGTAAAAATTTCTACAAGCATTCATATCTTCTAGGAAATACAATCTCAGTGTCCATATGGACCATGCTATGATACATCGTGTACTGCTCGAATGCTTCACAAACTTGTCTGAGTTTGCTTTCTCAAGTTGTGGTGCTGGTCTGTAACGTGAACTTTAGTTTTTGACCCCTGTTTCTCAAGTGTTCAGAGGTTTGGGATGCTTTTGAGGTTTTTTTCTTTCAAACACTTACAAGTCAAGTGCCATAAAAATGCTGAGTGTTTTGCACAGAATGTAACCTATAGTTGATTGCTTTTCTTGTGTGCCAGTCAACCCTGATGTGATCTGGCTCTTACCAGTATTTCTTCCTAGTTGGCCTTATCAAGAGAATCTTTTTCCTGTAGGCATCATTTTCCATTGGTCTTCCTGCCTCCTCCTAAATAAGCCAGGGACCTACATGCAGTCTTTTTGTGGCATTTTTTTCGGAGTATGAGTTGGAATTGTGCTGTTTGCTGGAGAGGGCATACCCTCTCTGTGGCAAAAATAGTATGTGGCAGTGTAAGGACTGTTTTATATATGTGCACAGAGAGGTAAAATGTTTAAATTTACAGCCCTCTTTGACTGAATAGAAGTCCTAAATAGTAGCAGACAAAAGGGAAAAGCCATTGTACAGAAGCCTCTTGTGATTTCACAGGGCTAAGTGGCAAAGTTGTGGAACCCTTGAATGCCCAGCTTTTTGTCTGAGGATAGGTGTTTTTTGGGGGGTTTTGTTTTTTTTTTTTCTTTAATGGAGTTATTGAGGTGATTTCTTTCAAAGCCGGCTCCTACCTGTTACCAAACTAGGCATCTGCATCAGGAACTGTGTTTTAATTGCAGTCACTAATGAAACATAGTCTTGGTGGTGTAATCTGGGACAACATGATGGGGCTGCCACATTCTGGTTACAAAACTGAGGTACTTCAGGTCCTATGGCAGGGAATGGATTGGAAGATGCTTCCTGCTAACCCTTTCTTGGGTAGCTGTAAGTTGAGTAGTGCCCATATTTTGGATATTCTGGCCTTAGGTGCACAGATCTTTGTTTAACTGTGGAGTGATTACAGCAACAGAAGCCTGTCAACCTCTTTCAAAGAGACGAAGATGGGTTGCAATTTTCTGCTAGATTTCCTGTATTTACTGGGTGGCAGAGAATTGAGACAGTTCTTCCATGGGTGGAGTCCTCTTGTACATCCACCTGTCTCTCTTAATTTTGTCTCTGAGCTTCTGCATGTGCTCCTCATCTGCTTGTTCTGCAGATTGCATCTGTTCCTCTTGTTATTCAGCTTTCTGCTTCTGACTTCTGTGTTACCTGGAGGGCTTCATTCCTCTGTTCTCATGCCCAGTTCCTCTGCCTGCTGTGGGAAGCAGTCATGGGGAGGGGTCTCCTCTGCTGTTCTGTTCTCAGCCTCCAGTGTGTCCTAGGATGTGTGTGTACCATGATCAAAATCTCAGCTGTTTCTACTGTCTTCCTTAAATAAGCCTCTTCTATCTTGTGCAAGTGCTGATCTTTCTCTGCTCTCATCTGGCTTCTAACCCCTCTGGCACTGTTGGGCTCCAGCACTCCTTACCAAACTGAGGGTTAGGATGTAAAGGAGTCGTTCAAACATTACAGTAGAATTATAGAATAATTTTGATGTTTGCAGACCACAGCATTTTTCCTTTGTATTTGAAGGGAAACTGCAACCATTTTTCTTCACTGGAACTTTAAAAGGCACAAAACAGATCCTGAACTGAACTGGAGCTTGATGTAAAAATAACAAATAGAGGATGGGAAGGACTCTGGAGGCAGGGACTTCATAGCCAGTAGAGCAGTCAGGCCATCCCGACTGCCTTGCCCTGTTAGTGGCTCTGTGGAGGTGCCGATGTGTAAGGGGGGGATGTGTGCAGTGATGCCATTCAATTGCAAACAGGATGGTTTAGAACACTGGAACTCTAGGTTTTCTCACTGCTGCTTTAAAATGTTGTAGTATATGAACCTTAATTTTGGAGTGCTTATTGAAGTCAGAGGCTTAATGACTTTTGAAATGCCCATTGCTATTCTCACATTTTATTAGCTGACCATCTTTTTCTCTTGTACTGATTCCATATGGCTTTAGGTGAGCATTTTGCAGAGGCCGTTTGAAATGCTTCATTAATGGTTTCTGTTGTACTTCGTTATGTCCTGGGCACTGGGGGGGGGGAGTGTGGTGTCTGTCTTTAGCAATAAATATTATACACTATGTGTATATCTGTTTATATATGGAAAACAAATACAGAGCATGTAACGATGGTGAAAATACACTGCACGGAGTGCAGATTGTGCATTTGGCAACCATTCTGCACCAGCCTGAACGACTCATGAAAAATTGGAGACCATGTGGAGAAAACGAACTAGCGTGAAAAGAACCATTCAGGACTGAATTTCCCTTTCCATACACACTTGGCCTGTGTGTAAGCAGTGGATAAGCCAGCCCTACTCTGTGGGATGGATAACTAAAGCTAGTTCAGTTGCTGTTTGCTTCAAACAGCAGCCTTCCTTAAAACTGGCCAGAGCCTCCTCTGTTCAACTGTAGCTCATTCATCAGTGTATTGTCACTAAACACTCTGAGAGAGGCAGCACTGCACTATGATTAAATCTTCTATGAGAGAAGCAAAATACTTCTGTGATTCGTTTTTTATAATAGCAATAATGTTGACTGCATTCTAATACTCACAATAAAGGTCTGTTGAGATTGTTATGTGCCTGGGCTCCTGTTCCATGGACTTTTCTTTTGGAGAGCTAGTGGTTGGTTGAGCATGTTTTAAAGCATTCAGGAATCTTCAGTTGCATGTTTAGCCTGTAGTCCATAACTTATGTGCAGTCATTGATACTCATTTGTCTACATTGCAAAGCTTTAATTGTATTTTAGCCTGTAGGCAAATTATACAGTCAGTAAATTATTTTTACAGTACTGAATTAATTACTGTGTAGCTGAGTAAGTGGAAGATTTTTCTATTCCTGAACTGCTTTGGTGTTTAACAATTTCAAGGTTTGAGTTTTGCAATGCACTGGCTTCTTAAAAGACAATGTCTTTTCAGCATGTTCACAGTGATGGCATCTCTTCTTGTGGGCCTTCTAAGAGTGTTTTGTGCCTTTGTACAGTGTCATTTACAAAGTAACTTCGATTTGCTTTTAATGATTTATTTTAATATTTCCCACAAGCTGTTGTTCTGCACTCTGCTGTGGTAGAAAATAAATAAGCCAACAATGTTAAAAGGTTCTTCTCTTAGACATCCTGTGGACCAGGGCACAAATGGCAAGCAGCAGATGAATGAATCTCAATGAGTTACTGATACAGAAAAATTGTTCTGTTGTTCACATAAAAAAAAAGATATGATCATAACTGTAACCAACTTGAAAATTTTAATTCTGAAACATTTTAATCGTTGTTTAAGGGACCCTTCCAAAATGGTCTCTCAAATTTAAGGTGCAAGGCCAAATTCAGATCTTGGAGCAATACACCAAAACACTTTTTTTTTAATTAGCAGAGTTTTTGAAGATGAGGTTTCCCGAGTCAGGCCAACTGTCTGATCAGCCCAGTGTCTTATGTGCAGTAGAAACAGAATGTCATATCTGTACAAATTAACCTTTCCCTAAATAAATCTTTCACTTTTGTTAAACTGAGGTTTCCTTTACCAAAATTTTTATGAAGTCCATCAGTTTAAACACTCCCTGACAGGCTTGTGCTCCTTGAGTTTAATCCATCTTTTTTCATTGGTGACTTACTGAATTCACACCTCCGTTGTGTGGCAGGGGTTGTGTTTGTCCTTGAACTTCCTTTCCGACTCCATTGGCTCGACACCGTTGCCTTCAGTTCAGAGAAGATTAATTGTTTCATTATTGAAAAGACCCAAAATAGTTTTGTCCCACCAACACTTAGAGTTTGGCACCCTGTTATTGCCCTTGTGTGACTGGTGGTGACTTTTCTCACTGCATCAGCTTGTGTTTGTCAAACATTCAATTGATTCAAGGTGCAAATCCTTTGTGTCACTGCATTTTGCAGATCAGGCTCCTGCTTGGGATTTCAAGCCAACTTGCATCCTAGTTGTTGTGAAAATAAATATTTTTCTACTTTGAATCACTGTGGTACTATTTGATAGAGGACAATTGTATTATCGTCAATGAGTAAGATTTTACCTGGCCTAGAAATGGTTGATTTCTCCAGGGACAAATGCAAATTCAAATGTTCTTACGTGGGCTTCTTTAGGTTCTTCTGTCACCAAAGGCATTTTTCTCCTATGCTAAATTATAATTAAAAACAACTGACAAGTCCTGTACCCACTTTTCTGATCTAGGCAAGTTTAGCATGGAAGTTATTGGAACTTCCCCATTCTTTCAATTTGAAGAATGTGTCATGTATAAAGTGACTGAAAGGTGTATTATCTGAGGCTGTCATCCTGTCATCTTTTAATTTTACATCACATGAGGACTTAATCAGAGATGATAGAGATAAGTGCTTCACAAGGTTTTGGAAAGAAATGTACTGTAAACCTTAGTTGTCTATCCGTAAGTGTAATAAATGGTGTTAGTCTTGTTTTTACATAGTTTTCCTAAAATGTGTGAGAGAACTATCTGATATTGGTGCTTTATTTAACACAGAACAGTTTTATTATTTTTAAATAAATGAACTGATTGATGTGAGCGTGATTTCACAGTGTTTTCAGTTCTTAAAATTTTTGCTTCCAATTTGCTGCCTCATTCAAGAGGCTCCCTCAAGTTTTCTTAAGCCAAGGTTGACTTCTCAGGATCAAGTTTTATTTGGGTAACTTTTTTGTGTCTACAGATGTCTGTGTATTCATATACAGGAATCATTTATCCTTGGGCTTTTTGACATGTAAAAACTGCAGTTGCACAGACCATCTCTTCTGCAAAGAAAGTGTATGCAAAACTGGAACAACGAATAAATGTCTGCTTCTCCCTTGAGGTTTGTGATTTCA